ATGGGAGGTGAGACCAATATACATGGGAGATGAGACCAATATACATGGAAGGTGAGACCAATATACATGGAAGGTGAGACCAATATACATGGGAGGTGAGACCAATATACATGAGAGATGAGACCAATATACATGGGAGGTGAGACCAATATACATGGAAGTTGAGACCAATATACATGGGAGGTGAGACCAATATACATGAGAGATGAGACCAATATACATGGGAGTTGAGACCAATATACATGGGAGGTGAGACCAATATACATGTGACGTGAGACCAATATACACGTGAAATGAGTTGGTAGTCACAAAGATGGAAATCTCAAAGACGGTGCAGTGCAAGCTGTACCAGTGGACATTCATATTCTTAAAACTTTCACTCTTGTGCCAGGCCACTGTTTGTTAGTCAAGTAATCCATGCATGTTTATGAGCCTGAGTACTGTAAAGGTCTGAACACATCCATCGCCACGTTAAAACCCACCCCCCCCCCCCCCCACCCANAAAAAAAAAAAAAAAACACAAAAAAAAAACAACACATTGGACCAGAATGTAAGAACACCCCCCCAGTGGAGACCGAGGTGGTGAGAAATACACTTTAACGTGTGTAGAAACCGGCTCCCAGGAGCATACAGCACGAATTGTTAAGAAGGGGACTAATTTATCCCAGACGGTTTGAATTTATCATTACGGGAGGTGACCCCTGCGTTTTCTTTCCCCGTGTAGTGCTCTCCCCTAACCGACGTAAGTTAATGGCTGCCGTGCCCCGAGGCCTCGATTATACTTTCAAATTTGACTCCAAGTTATTTAAATATTCTCTGGCTTTCGGGGAATTATAGATACTTTTTTTTTTTCTGGAAGTAGATTGGAGTCCTCGAAGTAAGAGACTAGTCGTATGTAGAACGTGGAAGTGATAGAATATTAATATTAAGAAATAGCAAAGGGCGAAGAGTGCAGGGTGTTTTCTTTTGGGGGTTTTTGAAATTTGAAACAAAATACTTGGTCGTTATTCACAGCTTTGCATTTTGAGCATTTGGTTCAGTTCAGTAAAAGGAGTGTTCCCGTACGTGTCGAAGAGTGGTATCAAAATGCAGCTGGCCAGTTAGTTGATATCCCTAAGACTAAACACCAACCGCGTTTTTTCACAGTGCTCTCTTCAATAAAATGATCTGGAACAAGGGCCTTCATTCGATCATCATACCGAGAGCTACCGGAGGTTCAGGTCAGGTGATCTTAATCTACCATCATAACTCTAGTAATATAATGTTATTGGTGACAATCTCATTTTTTTTAGATTTGGCCGTGTTTAGAAAATAATTGAGATACATTAATTGAGGTTACATTCTTTATTGGTGATTTGAAATTAATCATTTAACAGTTTCAGTAATGAAAGCATATCCGATCAAATAGTGGCATGTCAGTTTAAAATCATGCACTGGAGATGCCAATCTATAATCGAAATCAATAACGGACGTGACCAATGTTCCCTCCAAGGTTTGTTGGTTCGTGTGCAAAATCATAAAGTTGTGTGCAAAGTTTTACGGCATCTATTTTTTTTGTGTGTGCAAAATTGTACAGCCCACAAAAACAAACACACACTTTCATGGAAATTTGCAGCGCGGATACTCAAAACTGCTGCGCGCGTCTGTGAGATAGCTGCGCGACCATTCAGCCGCGCGACCATGCAGCCGCGCGACCACGAAGCCGCGCGACCACGCAGCCGCGCAGCTTAAAGGGAACGTTGGACCTGACATGTTTCAAAGGTGTACAATCAAGGACAGGTAAATTTTGTCAATACCAAAATAATGAAACAACCAGAAATTCTATCCATCTATCCATCCATCCATCCATCCATCCATCCGTCCATCCATCCGTCCGTCCATCCATCCATCCATCCATCCATCCATCCATCCATACATCCATCCATCCGTCCATCCATCCGTTCGTCCTTCCGTCCGTCCGTCCGTCCATCCATCCATCCATCCATCCAAAACCCACCCACCCATCCATCCATCCATCCATCCATCCATCCATACATCCATCCGTCTATCCGTCTGTGTGTCTGTCTGTCTGCCTGTCTGCCTGTCTGCATGCCTGCCTGCCTGTCTGTCTGTCTGTCTGTCTGTCTATCTATCTATCTATATATCTATCGTCTTTCTGCCTGTCTGTCTGTCTGTCGGTCTGTCTGTCTGTACATCTATATATCTATCTTTCTGTCTGAATGTCCACTCCCTCTAATATAGCTCTACCTGCCCCTTCGTTTTTCGGTATAATCAATAATTTGGTAAATTAAAAAAGTCTATATATGACTCAAAAAGATACATCACATGAAAACATCGTGGAGTATATTGTGGTATACAGTAACGGTATCTTGTGGTATACAGTAACGGTGTCTTGTGGTATACAGTAATGGTATCTTGTGGTATACAGTAACGGTATCTTGTGGTATATAGTAACGGTATCTTGTGGTATACAGTAACGGTATCTTGTGGTATACAGTAACGGTATCTTGTGGTATACAGTAACGGTATCTTGTGGTATACAGTAACGGTGTCTTGTGGTATACAGTAACGGTATCGTGTGGTATACAGTAACGGTGTCTTGTGGTATACAGTAACGGTATCGTGTGGTATACAGTAACGGTATCTTGAGGTATACAGTAACGGTATCTTGTGGTATACAGTACCGGTATCTTGTGGTATACAGTAACGGTATCGTGTGGTATTCAGTAACGGTATCTTGTGGTATACAGTAATGGTATCTTGTGGTTTGTTTTGTTATAAGTTAACGGTATATTGCTCTATACAATGACGGCACATTTTGTTTTTGAGTACCGTTATATTGTGGTGTATAATAAAATAACTTTGTAGTTTACAGTACCAGTATATTGTGTTAACGCTATTTTGTTATAGTCTATACAATAACTGTATATATTTGTTATACAGTACCGGTGTATTGTGGTTTACAGTAACAGTGTATTCGGGTATGCGGTAGAGCAATAAATCAAAACAGGTTGACAGAATGTGAGTTTGATGATGTTAAGGGACATGTGCATCGCAGGCAACCAATGCGACATAACTCAGGCAGACAAGTGACTACACTCTAGTTAAATATTTTTATTCTAAGCGGGCGGAAATATCTATTTCCCGTGATTAATTATTCTTTATCTTTGATACCAACAGATGGTTTTTCTCAAAATTTATACATCTGAAATGTTCAGACTTAAAAGAAAAAAAAAAAAAATCATCTTTAGCTATATTCCGTGGTGCGGCATGGGAACCATCTTCTATGGCATTTGGTCGGTTTCCGGGAAGATTACCAACAGATGGTTTTTTTCAAAATTTATACATCTAAAATGTTCAAACTTAAAAGAAAAAAAAAAAAAAAAAAAATCATCTTTAGCTATATTCCGTGGTGCGGCATGGGAACCATCTTCTATGGCATTTGGTCGGTTTCCGGGAAGATAACTCTGGCACCCTCCCGGTACTTACCGTACATCAAAGCGAGCTAGGTGTCAAAGGTCACAATGCTATCCGCTTGTCTCTCCCCTGGAATAGAAATGCGGGAGAGGTTTGCATGGTTTATCTCCCCTTTGAGTTTTCTGATTGTTAGCGCTCTCTCTCTCTTCCCTTTAGTTTTTTTTTTTTTCTCGGTACTCCGTCACTGTTAAGGGAGTTGGTGCCACTGACAGAAATATGTACTAAATGGTGCTAAGGTTGAGATAGTGAAGCACGTAGAAGTGTTATGAGTTGTAACGTATGGCATTGAGCTGCCATGACCACAAGACTGACCATGATTGCCATTGAGCTGCCATGACCACAAGCCTGACCATGATTGCCAATGAGTGATCATGACCACATGACTGACCACGATTGCCAGTGAGCTGCCATAACCACAAGATTTACCATGATTGCCAGTGATTTTCCATGACGACATGACTGACCATGATTGCCAGTGAGGTGCAAATACCACATGACTGACCATGATTGTAAGTGAGCTGCCATGACCACATGACTGACCATGATTGCCAGTGAGTTTCCATGACCACATGACTGACCATGATTGCCAGTGAGCTGCCACGAATGCCCATGACTTTTCACGAGTTTTACGAGAGCCCACAGTGTACCATGTTAGCCCATAAGCTGTTCTGAATCCAGAGTCAAAATGTGATATAGCGATGAGTTGGATTGGAGTCCGAGCTGTGACCTTGTTCTCGGGTTATGTTCGACTGCCATAAAACACAGATCAAACACAGAACACCGGCATCGTTATATAAAGCTTTAATTATAACATCTATCTATAACGAGCACTCTCTAACTTGCTTGCAAATTACAATTGCGTGATTGATCTTCGCTGGAGAAGGCTTCTTGCTGACACGTTTTTTGTTTTTTTTTTCTTTTCCTTCTTTTTATTAGTTTCCACCCCCTACCCTGCTTTACATATTTCCTTTTACATAAGCTGATGGCAGTCTCTCTACTCCCCCCTCTCCTTTCAACATCATGTTACCCAGTTTTTTAATAAGCTGTTGAAATAAACCACACATTTGATCTAAAACCGAAATCTATTTTAACAACTTTGTCAGAGAAACAATTTGGAACCTTTTCTTTTGTAATGATGATGGAAACTAATGGTTAACATTGTCTCGTAATATCACGTTTAAAAATGTGTAAAATAATCATTCCATTTGTCGTAATTTTTTCAGGGGTCCTTCGTTATTTTGGTATGTCTGGACTAAAATTATTTGGATTCGTAAATTTGATGACTATTTACCAGTGTTTTCCATCATGATCAAAAGGGTTCCCATTTGTTCCCGGACCCAGTGTACATTTGTGTGTGAATGGCAGTTGATAGGATTGCATGTTTTCGATAGTCCCCATGCTTTAAACGACTATGTTTATCTTCTCCTTTCTTCAGATGCCATTTGATTTGACGGTTCTCGCTCCGTGAATGTTGGACAGCTGTACTCCATCACGACTGCCACCGATGTTGTAAGAGGCTTGAGAAGAATTGCGCTACTTTCATATTTGAAAGGGGTGAGTTTTCGTCTATTAAACCTTATCCTTCTACTCTAGTATACTGTCAAACTGTCAGAGAAAGTCCAAATAGTCCTGTAGTATAATGTCAAACTGTCAGAGAAAGTCCAAATAGTCCTGTAGTATAATGTCACACTGTCAGAGAAAGTCCAAATAGTCCTGTAGTATAATGTCACACTGTCAGAGAAAGTCCAAATAGTCCTGTAGTATAATGTCAAACTGTCAGAGAAAGTCCAAATAGTCCTGTAGTATAATGTCAAACTGTCAGAGAAAGTCCAAATAGTCCTGTAGTATAATGTCAAACTGTCAGAGAAAGTCCAAATAGTCCTGTAGTATAATGTCACACTGTCAGAGAAAGTCCAAATAGTCCTGTAGTATAATGTCACACTGTCAGAGAAAGTCCAAATAGTCCTGTAGTATAATGTCAAACTGTCAGAGAAAGTCCAAATAGTCCTGTAGTATAATGTCAAACTGTCAGAGAAAGTCCAAATAGTCCTGTAGTATAATGTCAAACTGTCAGATCCAAATAGTCCTGTAATCATTATGAAATGAGGACAGTTAACCTTTTCCTTATCTAAGGAACAGTACTTCAAAACTGTTGCCCGGAAAGGTCACAGGAAAAGGGAAACAAAATGTACCAGAAGCGGTCGGCGTCCGAAATTGAGTTATACCTGATTGGTCCAGTGTCATGAGGACCAATTCTTAAATGGCAAGTTGTATAACACGATTTAAAATATCTTGATCGCTGAGAGTCACTTACTTAAAATTATTTTATTTGAAATAGCTAACAAAACTGATGGCCTATCAGAATAAATCAATATTTTGGCAAATAAGTCAAAATATGAAATGTACCATGCAGGGATTATATGTGTGTACATTTTTGTCATACATACATAATCCTGTATAATGTATGTTTTAAAAATGTTTACAAGTTTATTTCGTTATGTAATCAACCTAATCAATTAAGAAATGTCTGGATAGCTATTTTTTATGGGATTTTAGTTGTATTTAAAAATATTAATTTAAAAAAAATATGATGATAAAGCTGATAAGATATTAGACTACAGCTTATAAGAAGATTAATCAGCTCGCTCAAAGACAGAACCAGGAACGAGCAGAGGTTGGGGAAAAAATGTTGGCCAAGGAGAAAACGATTTGTTAAGTTGCAACATGACTGTCAAAAAAAAAAAATTAAAAAAAAATAAAGAATCTTTAAAATGTGAGCATATCCTTGGGAAAATTATGACAAGATTCGCGAACCTTGTAATGGAGAGTGCACAGAAAGCCCTAAACTAACACACAAAAATCATAAGAAAAACACAGACTGGAATTTTTTTTTCTCCTTCACAGACAACTTTAGAACGTGGCCGGTTTGGTGTGGAATGGTTTAACAATTACGACGCCAAGCGATGCGCATTTGTGTGCAAAAGAACACAGAAATTCTTTATGTATCAAAGCATTAGGGTTTGAATCCTTCAGAAGGGCGTCCTCTTGTGTTGACCTGGGTCGGCCATCCCCCGAGACTCGCCGTCATAAAAGGGAGGCGTTATGTTAACTTTTTAAAAAAATGTGGGGCGGGGTGAGTGGGAGGAAGAGGGGGAGTAAGTCGTCGTCTGAAGGCTTGGGGTATTCATGGGAGACCACCCGGTGTCATTTTACCAGAAAACATTAACACCATAATCAGGTTTTTGTTGCCCCTGATACGACGCACCTACATAAGAGCTGGCGATAGAGGGAATCCTTTACAGAGGGAGATAAAAAAAAAGTAGGGGGGGGGCAGGGTAGTTATCTCGTAGGGAAGTGCTTGTGTTTGGGTCACATTAGGAACGGGGATCTGTAGGGGGATAGAGTCATAGAAGTGGAAATATAGAGGTGGATTTCTATGAATCATAGAGGTGGAACCCTGTGGAGTCATAGAGGTGGAACCCTGTGGAGTCATAGGGGTGGAAATATATGGGGTCATAGGTAGGGAAACATACGTTGTCATGGAGGTGTAATATATGGAAACACATAGGTGGAAATATATGGGGTCATAGAGGTGCACATATATGGAGACACACAGGTGGATATATATAGGTATGGATATATAAATTGTCATAGAGGTGTAAATATATGAATACACATAGGGTGGAAACATATGGGGTCATAGAGGTGGAAAAATATGGTGTCATAAAAGGAGGGAAATATAGAGGTGGAACTCTGTGACCGGAACAAGATCGGACATGTAAAACAAAGTAGCCCCACTCTGTGAAATAAAAAACTAGTTTACCTTTACAAAATTACAGTATCTTTCTGATTTACACCGGAAATGCAATGGCATACCTGGATTAAATGTCGCCATGATCAAACTCGTACATGAGAGTCACAACTCACACATTTTTATACAAGGCTATTTATAAAATCCAGAAAGTTGTTTTCCTTTTCGAAACTCCCTAGGTACGTCACTCAGAACGTATCTGCCTACTCCATTCCCAGACCACTTGTGCTGATTTACTCCAAAATATCCACAACCACCCTCCCACCAATTTTTGACCACCTTGACCAAGCTCATTGTCCATTTGTGTCAAATCCAGCAACATCCACATTTTTGCCAATGTCAGTTTGAAGACGGTTTGCGCTGATATCCTCAACATATCACGCCCAGGGAGCGCGCGCTTGTATACACGCCTGCCAACAATCTAGTCCCTATCGTCACATCCCAATGGCAGACTTGGCGTTAAGTTATCGTTTTCGGGTTTTTTCCCCCTCCCCGCCATTTTCACTCTGCCAGGCCAGCGTCAGCCGAACACTCCAACCGTCTCAGGCAGATGCTCAACAAGTATTTATCTTTCGGGAGGTTCAATTACTCCCCCATCCCCTTCCCCCAAATATTCCGGAACCAGATGGCTATCTCACCTGCTTAATGGTTGAGTGACTGTTTCTTCGAAAGTCACGTTCCATTAGTCCGTGTCAAGATAACGTCTGATCAATGTCTACGTGTTTGTCTCAGGACTTCAGACGTCTGAGAAAATTGTGGACCACTGAAAAATTCCAGTGTGAAATTGGGAGACCGAATTTACGAGATCGCCGGAAGTAGGGTAACAGAAGTAGACCTAACTTTGTTTGAACACAGGTTTGCGCAAGGAAAATATGCAAAAGCTTTGACAATTTTAAAAAAAAAATAGGCTTTATACATGTGTTTGAAAATTTGGGTCCAGAGTTATTAAAACCACGGTGCTAAACGTTAAGACCACGAACACTTCTTCAAACAAACAAGATATGTATAGAGGAAGGTTATTTTCTTTTTAAAATTATGTTTTGTTATGTTAAGCAGCGTCGTGCTGCCGATCAATCAAAGTCCGGATCGAAACCTGTCAGTTATAGAAAAAAAAAAATCGTCAATGATTTTGTACAGACCGTTTCGGTAGAATAGTGAAATTATAAGAACCGGCTCACCGGAGCCGGACATGCCCAACACTGATGTTAAAGAGGACGATCTGTAACGCAAAACTGTAAGATGATTAGCTAAAGAAGCATCGGAGGACTTAGATAAAATAGTTATTTCTTCAATCAACACCGTCGCAATGATCCCTTTAAGCTGCGCGGCTGCGTGGCCGCGCTGCAATCTCACAGAAGCCGCGCAGCAGTTTTGAGTACCGCGCAGCTAATTTCCACTTAAGGGTCTGTAGGCTGAAAATTTTGCGCACAAAAAAAATTGATGCTGTAAAAACTAGCACACAACTTTATGATTTTGCACATGAACCAACAAACCTTAGAGGGAACATTGGCTGCGACTGGTAGTTATTTGAACTAAGCCCAACTCATTAGGTTTAATCACGTGATAAAATGGACCCCGCTGTAATGCACCCGGTCGCGTGGTACACCTGACCAAGATGGTGCGTGATGAAATGTGCCCGTACAGTTTGACGCCTTCCAGGTGCCACTACAGGTAATAGAAGACAGGCTGTGGGTGAATGTGGTGGAAAGGGGGGGGCGCAGAAGGGGCAACGTGTATGTGAGGTATGGGTGTCTATGATGTAACATATGGGCGGCATTAAAGTAGCTGTAGCTCTGGGTGTATGGACGTATGGAAGTATGGAAGTATGGATGCATGGATGTATGGAGGTATGAACGTATGGATGCATGGATGTATGGAGGTATGGAGGTATGGACGTATGGGTGCATGATTATGGATGTATGGACGTATGGATGCATGGATGCATGGATGTATGGAGGTATGGACGTATGGATGCACGGATGAATGGATGCATGGATGTATGGGTGGATGGACGTTTGGACGTATGGACGTATGGATGAATGGGTGCATGGATGTATGGAGGTATGGACGTATGGATGCACGGATGAATGGATGCATGGAAGTATGGGTGGATGGACGTTTGGACTTATGGACGTATGAATATATGGATGAATGGGTGCATGTATGTATAGGTGGAATTTTAGGATTATTTTTTATGATCTGACGTTGGATATGCCCGGTGATGTCCAATTAAGATTCTTGATGCAATGCGCTAACTGGAGTCACTTAATATTTAAACACAATTGTATAACTGTTACTTAGATGTTTGAAGTTTTCACTCAGAATGTCAGATGAACATTAAATTCGACCACCCCTCCTTCCACCGGCGCACCCCCTTCCCCCCTTTTATTTATCAGCATTGCGTTGCCCGAAATATTGATCACGTGATATTGCCTAATGACATCAGTGGGTCTTGTCGAGTGCAGCAAGGACATAATACGTTTAGAGGCCCTGGCAAATGACATCAAGCCTGGTTCGTGTTTCAAAGATGCATTTTTTTTGTGTGTTCAACCTGTTTGCCCTCAAAGTTTCTTGTGAAGGAGAAGCATCGACGTATGTTTTCTCATATTGTTTATTAACTTAGCTTGGAAACAAAAAACTACAATATTTAATCTTCTCTCTCTATATATATTAGACGAATGATTTATAGAGTTGTATTCCATTTGCGCGCCGTAACATGACACAGTGAAAAGAGTTCACCAAGCAGCACCAATCGCACCAATCGCACCAAACGCGTGGTGCGCACATTGTTTACCTCTGAGTCAACGGACATGCCTCAATTCAAAAAACACTTTTGAATTAACCCTCTCTACTGAGAAGATAGTAGATAGATCTTATATTAAAATGGTATTAGAAAAAAAAAAAAAATTTTCTGAATTATGAATTCCAAAAAAAAAAAAAAAAAATTAAAAAATTAAAAACATTAAAAAAATTAGCAGATGTTTGACTTGACACAACTGGGCTTAGAAAGTATTTACATTTGATTTTCAGTTATGAAGAGACATTCTGACACCGAAACAATATCTCATTAAAAATAATTTTTAAAAAAATATGTTTTATATTTTAAAGTGAAAGGTCGATTTTTGTACCAAAGGCTGCAGGGAAATCCAACGATAAAATCAGACCAACCTTCACCAGCCGATCAGAAACAATGATAACTGTCTAGGGAGTACGGAAACCCTATACCACTGATAACAGCAGAATCTCAGCAATGCAAACTGTCAGTGCTGAAGACGAGACCATAACAGGTGGCGTCTGTGTGAGAGTGGAATAAACAAAGTGAAAGCTTTGACGTCACCAAGAAAAGAAAATGACTTTTTTTTTTAATACAATAGGTTTATTAAAAGTTACGAGATCAAGTTTATTTAGGTGCGTTGTGATCAAAAGGGGTGGATGATTTAAGTAACAGTAGATGTTTGTACTTTTTAGTTTTGTTAAGGCTATCATACACGGAACCCTCCCCCTTTAAGACATGATATCGTAGTCTGTGAGATCGTGGTCCATTGAATCGGAAGCCAAAATATCGTAAGCCATAATATCGTAAGCCATATTATCGTAAGCAATAGTATCGTAAGCCATGATATCGTAAGCCATGATATCATAAGCCATGATGTCGTAAGCTATGACAACATACGCTATGATGTCGTAAGCCATGATGTCGTAAGCCATAATATCGTAAGCCATAGCAACATATTTACCTATTTAATTTTACAGGTAATAATAACGCAACAGTTTTATTTTTTTTCCTTTAAAAAAAAAATTCTTCCCCTTTCTCATTCAGGTTTTTGTTCATCAGAATCCTCGTTTTATAGCCATTTTAATTGTTTCTATAGTATAGTAGTTACTATCCTAATGTCTCATTTTTATTTTAGTTAGTTTACATGTTTTTTTAATAATTGTAAAGCGCTTAGAGCTTTAAGGTAAGCGCTATATAAAAATGCCTAAATAAATAAATCAATGATACCTTACAGATAGTTTATCTTGCATTTCCTTCCACCAATATTTAAAAGAACATTTAAAAGGAGATTTAAGGAAATTTTTAAGCCAACAAACCATTTTATCGATTTGAGTACAAGTTCAATTAATCAAATCAGTAATGTTAAGGGGCACCGTTTTTGGAAATCTCACACACACCACCCCCCCCCCCGCCCCCCAACCCGACACCCCCACCTCATAAAACCAAATAAACCTCTGGCAGTCGGACAGGTGCAACTCGTACCCATTCTTTAGAAGAGTGTTTCCCAAAGTGAGTGGTACGTACCCCTGGAGTACGACTAGAGTTTGGTGGGGTACGCGCTGCAAAGGGGGGAAAAATAATTTTTCATTGTTATTAAAAGTATATGCATTTTTTTTAACGAGGGTTTCTCAGCGTTACCAAAATTATATTCAGGGGTACACAAATGTCGAATGTTTGGGAAACGCTGCCTTAGAAGAAAAGAAATCACGACTCATTTGGAGACGTCAACTAATGACGTCAGACATAAGCAATACAAATTGGCCTACGGTTTTAACTCTGAAGTGAAGTTTACATGAAAGTTAACATCTCGGAGGGTCCAATCCACTAGCCATCATTTCATTAAGGTTACCACCGAGAAGGGTCCCAGCTATTAACCATCCTTACCTTAAAGTTACCACCGTGGAGGGTCCAATCCATCAGCCATCCTTGACTGCTTGTTATTCCCTCACGTAAATATGGGTTTGAAATAAAGTATTATCTGCCTGGGAATCTTTGTCTATGTGCTCTGCTGTCAGCTTGTCCTGAGTTTGTTAAGGAAAAAAAAAACGTTTACTTTTGTAAAAGATAATTAACATATGAAATATGTATACATTTTTAAAATCCTTTAGATCATCTTCGCGCTTGTTTGTGGTTTGCTGGCAAATATCTTCGGACGCCTAACTGACCCACTTTCCGTCAACCTATCGAGCCCAAACCTGGAACATAGACCCATTACCGACGACAAAACATTTTATCAAATTTTATGCCCGACCCCTAAACCCAAAAAATCAGGTTTACCAAGGGGAACATGAAGGAAATATGACGTCATTGATTTCGCGAAATAAAATTCCATATAACTGCGCTAAATAAAATTCTTTAAAAAAAGATATCGCAAGTGCGTTTGCTGCGTAATATTTTTTTTTCTGAAATAGTTAATGAAATAAATCTGCGGTTTAAAAGTGGGTTTGGGGGGTCAAAAGAATTTTAATGTAGTTTAGGGTCGTGACAATATGTGTGGTTGCGGGCCTTGAGTGCAGGGTTTTTTTTTAGGGGGGAGGGGGGGCACTAATTTGGATTCTCATAAAGTGCGTTACTTATATGGATATTTTGTCAAATTTTCAGCCCCACCTCCTATAGCTTGATATTATATTTTATAAAAGACCTATTCAAAAAAAAACTTTGTTTCTATGGGTTGTTTGGTTTAAAAGATGCCCTGCGATAAGATTATTCATTCAAGCAAATGAAACCCAGGAAAGACTCATTAAAAAAAACTGACTATAACGACATATTTTGAAGTCACTGAGTGATGCATACAATTAGGGTCAAACAGTGCATTCTTCTATGGCAATTAATCGATGAAATGGTTCTAGTTTGTTTTGTCCTACCCTGGTGATGGTTGGGTCAAAGTCGCGCTGGGCGACTCCCTGTCTTGAGCAACTGGAAACAATCTGGTAGGAATGGACTGCTCAACACACTCCTGAAAATTATCTGTTCCTAAACTGAATTGATTCGAAAGATGTCATTAAACCGGTTATCATTTAGCCAGTTTATCTACTTTTAGATTGTCCGTTATTTATTAGCGATAATTATAGTTAAGATTTATTATTGAAATAATCCATACTGACGACATGCTACATCATTCCTATTCAATGTTATTGACCGCGGAGGCCATACAGAGAGATTTCGATCGCTTTATAGGTAAATCATTAATTATTAACTGGTGTCGGTGTAATCTCTTGAGACAGGAAGGACTGTCCATCTATCCATATAAAATCTAGGTGTGAAAGAAAGTAGAGCTAAACGCTGTGCTCCAAAGCGCACAAAATAAATTTCTCGATATCTAAATGAGATTCTGAAATTTACCGCCAGCGTCTTTGTTTCGCGGGACTGGTATCAATTACGTAAGGTGTAACACATCAACGGTGTAAAACTGGGGACGACATCCGAATATTAATATAGTCCAGGTAGGTGAAAAAAATGTGTACGATGGCGTAACTGGGGGGGGGGCAGCACTAATTGGGATTCGTATATAGTGCCTTACTTAAATGCATGTTGTTGTTTTTTCAAGTAACTTTAGCAAATGGGAGGTTGACACAGCGCCATCTGGTAGCGTTAGTGACATCAGCACATAAAGAATGATGCATGTTGATTATCTTGCTTGTTTGGGCTTTTAAGTCATTTTTTCATTCCTTAAGAACTATAATAATATACCTCATGCAATTGAAAAAAATATAAGTATTTTCTCACTATATTAACGTATGTATTCATTTCAAGACATCATAGCAGTCTTAGAGTTGGAACATATATATTTTTTTTAAAAATTAATTTTTGAACTGTTAGGAAGGGACAACTGGAGTTGAAATTGAGTTATCATCACCACTCTCCTGAGATAAACAATTTATAATCAGACTCCAGTTTCTCTTACCAACGCCCCCACCCACCCACACCACTGTATCGGAGGGTTGGCTCCCCCCCCCCTCTTACTTGTTAGTAAAAGACTTTCGGGCCTGGGGAACTTAGACGCACAGTGGTGAGGAATTATGGGAAAAATAAATCAGAACAAATGGCCTGTCTGAATGGCACCTGCCTTCCCCCAGCGCAGTAGCTCGGTCGACGCCACTGAATTCGCAAGTCATTAACCTAAGAGTACGAAGATCCACCTATGTGAGAGAGTATTTTCAATATAGTTGAAGTCGAAAAAAACACTGAGTCCCATTTTCCGAATTGGACTCTTAAAGTTAAATTATTTAATGGTTTCGAGCAAGTGTCGGAACAAGAGTTCACTAACACGGAAACAGAGACTCCACTCTGCACCCCCCCCCCTCTATCACTCAAGACTACTTCCACTACCCCCTAATCCAGGCTGCTATGCCCCCGACCCCAATCGTGCCCACCCCCGAAAAATGATCCATTTTTTTTTTTTGGTTTGGGGGGGGGGGTGGATGTCTTGGGATGGGTGGAGTGAGGGGACAGTAGCATCCAGGGGTCTTGACCGGATGTATTTATTATAGTTTTCGTATATTATCTTACATTAAGGACTCCCAGACAAACGCCTAAATATTGTAAATAAAAATAAAGCCTGTGTTTACCGGCGTCCATTCTTGTTTGTGTCTGACTTGAAGCGAGTAATAAGAACGCCAAGCATAGCGAGGAAGAACGGGAGGGTACGCTTATCAGGAAGAGTACGGTTTCAGACAATTAATTTCGTCCAGCTTTTGAAAATTGTTTGCCGTTGTCAATTAAGCGATAACGAGGGTTTCAAAAAAAAAAAAAAAAAAAAGAAAGTCTTTGAATTTCAGAAGAATGCAAACTTTTCTTACAACTTACTTGAGGATGTAATTTAAACAACGCAAATGTAAGCTTTCAAAATTTGTAAGAAGGACGATCGAAACTTTATTTCATATTTTGAGTCTACACAGTGGCGTAGCTAGGGCTACAGCCGCCTGGGGCGTGATAAGAATTTCGCCGCTAATCTTCCTTGAAAAAGCAGTAAGAATTTTGCCATAAATGACGCCCTTCCAATTAAAAAAACAAACTTCTGCCAAACCTTTCCTACTCCACAGAATCTACATTATGTTAAATAATAAAAATATTCAAACCCAGGTCAATCAACTTGAATTGACCACTGAAGTGTGGCGAAATTAATTTAGAATTTACCGGAACAATAACGATGCACGACTTTGTATTAAACTTATTACATCCTGATAGAAAATCTTCTAGAAAAATTGTGAACTATCGCAAAGCAGAAATTTGAGTTCAACAGCTAACTGTTAACAAGGATTCGATGCCTTAAGATATCCAAAGGTCTTCAAGTTTAAAGTTTTTTTCTTTTTTTTAAAAATGAAATCGTTTGGTAAAAATGTTTGAAAATGACTTTGTTGCACACCACAGTTTGAATTTGTTTAAAGCGGTGGGTTATTCTTCAGGAAAAAACGATGTGGAGAGCTTGTGGCAGGAACAGCACCATTTTGAAATTTTAATACTCAAATAGTGAGTGCGATAATTGAATTAACAGGGGTATGGCCAAGTATGTCACACCATTGGTTTATCGAATTGAAAAAATACAGGACCCAAAACTGTTGGTTCGAAATTAGACGCATTAGCATCTGACACGTGTGTTATGAAATAAACAAACATGTGTCAAAGACTATTAATGTTAAAGAATAACTATTTTCTGTTAAATTGTGTGGCAACTTTGATGAGCCACCGTATTCTTTTCTTGTCATTGCAAATTCCTAGGGCAATTTTTTTGTTTGTATACTTGTTTTTATTTTATTTAAAGTTTCGTAGCGTTACTGCTTCTCATGCTTTCCACTAGTTTCTTCTTTTAATTGCTACACCGTTGTACGACATACATTTAGTGCTACATGGTGCAAATATGTGTCTCGGTGCACAGCATCGTTATCAACCTTGGGGCCACATAGTGATTGCTCTCCGTGTTTGGCTTTCTTATAAAATCAAAAAACAGTCTAAATTTTAACGTATATTGAGCACTGATCTTGACCCATCTTCCCATATATTGTAATCCAGTTACCAGCTTCTGATTCGCGAAGCGCGGGTGCTGGGTGGGCGAGCGATGTAAACCGACTCAATCCAAATAGCTGGTGGTCTGGAGTTCAATCCCACACCCAAGGCAAAGACAAAAACCTCCCAAGCACCCCCGGGAGGATGGGACTCGTTAGCAATTGGACGGCCACTCATCTAAGAGAAGGCGTACCCTGAATGGTAAACGAGGAGCCAGAATGATCAATTCTCAAAATACAGAAAAAGGAAAGAGAACAAATGGCAACCAGCATTGTTGAGACGGTGGTGCGCAAAGTAAGAGATGTGATGCGCACGAACATATAAGTCGTATAAACAAAATGCTTGGTATGGTATACAAGAGCATATGAAATTAGACAAATATATGTGGTATTACAATAATAGATGATAAGATGTGCTGCACAATACATGTTTGACTGCTTTAGAAAGTTACATACAAAGACATATCAGCAATAGCAAAAGACATTGACATGAACACTAAGCTTGCGAAACGGGTACAATTGCTCCACGAATGAGGGTGCATTTCTTCTATTTAACTATAAGTAAGTGATTGCAATTGCAATGTTAGTTCCTTTTGTTTTCTTTTATTCACAGCTGACGAATCTGTCTCGAGCTCCAAACAAAGCGTAGCTGCAATATTAACATTTTAACTATAAGCGAGACGTCAGGCATGCATGAGTTGGGCCCCTTGAAAAAACAGGGAGATAACTAATTAAATGCCGTCTTGCCCTACGCTCCAGTTATCTTCCATTTTATTGCTCTTTAGCGGCCCGTGGCCAGAGGGGTAATAACATTTTTTTTTTCCCCCAGTGTTGGTGTCTTCTTGGTTATCGAGCTTTGGGGTTCGCGGGGCACCACGGACAGTAACTCCACCTAGCCCTTGAGGTAACTCTTTGTCGACTAGACCGAGCCGTCCGCGAGAGAATCGGTCTGGTCTGCCGGCACGGTTCTCGCTCCTGCATTTTCCCTGCACGTGCGCTGACTCGTGCACGTCTCGTGGACTCGGTGGTTTACATAATATGTGGAAAGTGAATTTCAGTTAATCGGATTATATTTCCCCCGGGCAAGGTGAGCAGCGCGTATTGACACATACGAATGTGGTAACTTAGGCGTGGGGTGAAATTTTTTTATTTTTTTTTATGTCTGTTGTTTTTAATTATATTATCGTTTGTTTTTTTGTTTTTTTAAGTGTGTTTTTTAAACAAAAAAAACTTGTTGGTATACAATTGGAGGTTTTTGTTTACAGGATCCTGAATTTTTGAACGACACAAACTGTGAACAAAAACAAAAGAGACACATTTTGATTGATCAGGTTTACAAATAAACTTTGAGTGAAAATGTTCATGGACACATTTTATGGGCGCATTTAAATAGAGACGTTTTATTTGACACAGTTTACAGACAATTTTCATAGACACATTTTATAGAGACATTTTTATAGACAAGTGTTACAGACATTTTCATAGGCACATTTTTATAGATTAATGTTATAGACATTTTCATAGACACATTTTCATAGACACATTTTACATGAAAGTTATGGACGTGTAAATTGTAAAGAGACATTAAGACTGTGTTTTGCGGGGTGGGGTGTGGGGGTGGTGGGGATAAAGGGTTGTAGATAGATGACAACCCTTTGCTAAACTTTGTTGTGAACTCTGAACTTATTCGCACATATTTTCTTCCTCCGTACTATGAAGTTATAGGCGAGGAGGTTTGTGAAGAAAATGCCCTCTCCCGCCCCAAATTACAACAAAAAAAACAACTAAAATAAAATCGATGCATGGTTATGATTTTGAATAAGCGTTTGCTATTGAATCTCTTGTATATACGTTTGCTTCTGCTGTGTCCTGTTCCTTTTCGAAACCGCGTTTGCCCCAACCCCACGTGTTTTATATTAATAGCACTGAGTGAAAAAAAAAATTTGTCATGCGTGACGTGTGAACTCAAGTACATTTATTTTTTTATTTTTTTTTTACTGGGAGGCAACTATTGTAAGAGAGAATAGATATTGTATGGCGTAAGACTGTCTGCAGAACTGTCTGTAGTCTGTAAGACTGTCTGTATGACAATTGTTGACAAGCTGGAAGGTAAGGCGTAGAATTGTCTGTAAGACTGTCTGTATGACAATTGTTGACAAGCTGGAAGGTAAGGTGTAGAACTGTCTGTAAGACTGCTGTCTAAAGGCCGGCGTGTAGTGATTAGAGCCGTCCGTAGACCTAGTTCTAAAAATAACCGGACGAGGTGTAAACAACAACAACAACAACAACAACAACAACAACTGCATCTGGTTAAGCCCTGGTAAAAATTAATCCAACTTAAACTACGCTTATCTTAACTTTGTACCGTTGTGGACACATTTTTTGCACAGACGATTGGCGTTATGGCATTTCGTGTAACAGAAGACAGGGGAGCAGTTGTTAAATGATTTATTTTGGTTACAAATCGTATAACTAAAAGCTGCAACATAAATAGAATATCTTCCAACACTAATCTAACTATGCAACTGTCTATTTCCCCCAAAAATAGTGTGTGGTGGTAATACCATTTTTCTTTGCATGAAACCATATAATTTTAAAATGGACGTCATAATTTTTCAAAAGTAATTTGAACAAAATTTTTAAGTATATATTAGACATGTTGTCCTTTTTAAGTTAGCAATTAAAGAGTTATTATCTGAACGTCTCAAGGGTCATAATATGAGAACCCCTTTAGTCACCGACAAGTTCAATCTTCGTCCACAAAAAAACGTGACCACTGAAGAGGGAGAGCTCCCATCTCCGCCATGTTTTTAAGTTTGTTTCGAGAGGAACGCGGTACGTGCATTCTGGTTTTAATGACACTATGATGTACCGGTACTCGTGAATGTGCCGTGCTCTTCACGGATGCACTGAGGTAACCCTGGAATGTGCTGAAGTAACCCATGAATTTACTGAAGTGACCCTTGAATGTAGTAAAGTAATCCTAGAACTTAAAGAAGTAGCCCCTGGAAAATTCTGAAGTAACCATTTAATGTACCGAAGTATACTTGGAATTTTACTGAAGTATCCCTGGAATGCACTGAAGTAAACCTGGAATGTACTGAAGTAGCCCTGCAATATACTGAAGTAACATTGGAATGTACTGAAGTATCCCGGGAATGTACTGAATTAACCCAGGAATGTACTATAGTAGCCCTGCAATGTACTGAAGTAACCCTGAAATGTACCAAAGTAGCCCTAGAATGTACTGAAGTAGTCTTGAAATGTACTGACGTAACCATGGAATGTACTGAAGTAGCCCTGGATAGCTTTGAAGTAACCCTGGCATGTACGGAAGTAACCCTGGAATGTACCAAAGTAGCCCTGCAGTGCACTGAAGTGACCCTGGGATGCACTGTAGTAACCCTGGTATGCACCGAAGCAACCCTGGTGTGCACTGAAGTAACCCTGGATTGTGACTCAAAATAAGTCGATGAATCCTTAACCGAACTTCGATTCATAACTTGACGGGAACGCCTGTGCTGTAGAATTGTGTCGGCGTCATACGTCTCTCCCCTTACACCATCGATGGCTTACATTATTCTGTTAGCCGTAAGAACTGCGTGCATTTGAATGGGGTAATTGTTTGTTAAAATGCTTAACCAAACAGATCAGCTTAAATGTCTTTCCACACACAAAAAACTCACCACCCCCCTCCCTTTAAAAAAAACACCATCCTACCCCTCATTCCCTCATTGTAGCCTGCTACATTTAAATTACGAGAAAGGTAATTTTTTTTAATAATTTTTTTTTTCTACGATTTTTCCTTATGATGAGATTATGGCAAAAATGCCCCCCTCCACCCTTTCTCATTTTTTAACCCCACCCTTTTCTCCCTCTCTACTTAAAAAAAAAACAAAAAAACAACAAAAAAAAACGAAGTCTTCTCCGTACAGAAACACAATACGTCTAGAACACTGACAATGGGTCTGGGGCGTGCTTCGTGTCACCGGAATAACGTAATCGTACGTCGGCCTATCAAATACGTGTCTGGTGGAGGAACAATGTGATTATGCTCTTCCCAATAGAGATGAAGCGAATGAGAAAGACGAGGGACGCAAAGACATGACAGAGAAAAAAAAAAGTGATAAAAGAAGAGAAAGTGTGTAGAACGAGAGATAGAGCAGACAGAGGGGAAAAAATATAGGGAGAGAACGATAAGAGAGAGAAAGTTTCGTACAGAGAAACGGAAAGATAGGTATAGAGTGAACAAGATGAATAAACATGTGAGAATTGTGTAGAAAGTAGAGAAAGAGAAGAGTTGCATTTAGGGTTATGTGTATTTTTGTGAGTGTGAGACAGAGAGCGAGAGAGAGAGAGAGAGAGAGAGAGCGAGAAGACATGGAGAGGCAGACAGATAAACAGACAGGCATAGAAAGAGAGAGTGAGAGATTGACATATAGTGAGAGAGAAACAGAGAGAGAGAGACAGACAGACAGAGAAATATAGAGATTAAGGTAACAGTAAATGTTTTCAGTAAATCTCACTTATATATATCTCAAGTCACTTATATCGAGGTCAGTCACTTATATATAGGCCAAGTCATTAATATATAGGGCAAGTCCCTTATATATAGGGCTAGTCACTTATATATATAGCTCAAGTCACTTATATATATATATATATATATATATATATATATATATATCTCAAGTCACTTATATATATCTCAAGTCATTTATATATATCTCAAGTAATATATAATATATATATAGAGGTCACTCACTTATATATAGGACAAGTCATATATATATAGGGCAAGACCCTTATATATAGAGATAGTCACTTATATATATAGCTCAAGACACTTATATATATATATATATATATATATATATATATATATAGCTCAAGTCACTTATGTATAGCTCAAGTCATTTATATATAGCTCAAGTCATTTATAATATAGTTCAAGTCATTTATAATATAGTTCACGTAATTTATATATAGCTCAAGTCCCTTATATACAGTTCAAGTCACTTATCTACAGCTCAAGTGACTTATATATAGCTCAAGTCATTCATATCTAGCTCAAGTCATTTATAATAAAGTTCAAGTCATTTATAATATAGTTCAAGTAATTTATATATAGCTCAAGTCACTTATATATAGCTCAAGTCACTTATCTATAGCTCAAGTCATTTATATATAGCTCAAGTCATTTATTATATAGTTCAAGTCATTTATAAATTAGTTCAAGTAATTTATATATAGCTCAAGTCACTTATATATAGCTCAAGTCATCTATATATAGCTCATGTCACTTTTATATATAGCTCAAGTTACCTATATACATAGCTTAAGTCATTTATATATAACTCAAGTCACTTATATATAGCTCAAGCCACATATATATTTTGCTCAAGTCACTTATGCATAGCCCAAGTAACTTTTTATAGCTCAAGTCACTTATCATAGCTCCAGTCACTAGTATTTCTGATTACATAACAAAAATCTAACCAACATTATATTTTAGGTTTTAAGTGGAAAAAAATAAATATTCCTTCTTCGCTAACTCAACATGAGTGATGTCCAAACGTTTCAGATTGTTGAGATCTTGCCAGAGATCATCACTGAACTAAACCTCTCTTTCGTTTGAACAACAAGAAACGACAACAACAACAACAAAAGAACTACACGCTGAAATACCTGTTTATTATAACTGAACCACGGTTTATGCACTAATACTAATAGGAACACTTTCAGATGCGACTGGGAATAGTCTCCTCCAATTCGAGGTTCAACTTTTTATTTTATTTAGCTCATTAACATCATATGGAAAAAAAAATCCAAAAATTCATAACAAGATATGAAAAACTACACAATTTATATTGTGATGTGAAAAATTCAAAGATTCGAATGTAAAATGAAAAAATCCAAGATTCATATTAAGAGTTGGAAAAAAAAACAACTCCAATTCAATTGAACTGACCCTTGGCCACTTCTCTACCCAAATGAAGAAGACCTGCAAAGGTGTGTCGCCATTTAGTGACGTACTGTCAATGGAGCTATTCTGAGCTTCCGATAATCTCATATAGCGCAATGTTTACGACAGCGCGGCGGGCCCTCTGCTCGCCACGATAAACCGTGTCATAAAAAAATAAACAAACAAGTGAATCCTTGTACGCTGCGCAAAGACGCCTGCGTCTCATTTAAACACACTTGAACATTGTTTAAAAATTGTTAAAAAATCATTGGCTTATTAGATGAATGCATGTCTATTAATGGGTTGTCCGTAGAGGTTCATGGTTGTTAGCTTTGAGAAAATTGGGGGAAATCCTCAGGGGCCATGCTAAAAATTGGATGACACTGCTGGAGTTTTTCTTGCCAGCTGTTTGTGCTCGGTATGTGGTTGTCTTGGCAGGTGGTTTTCTTGGTGGGGGGTTGTCTTGGTGGGTGGTTGTCTTGGCAGGTGGTTGTCTCTGCATGTGGTTATTTTAGTAGGTGGTTGTCTTGGCAGGTGATTTCTCGGCATGTACTTATTTTAGTAGGTGGTTGTCTTGGCAGGTGATTTCTCGGCATGTGCTTATTTTAGTAGATGGTTGTCTTGGCAGGTGATTGTCTTTGCAGGTTGTTGTCTTTGCAGTTGGTTGTCTTGACAGGTGGTTGTTTCGGCATGTGGTTATTTTAGTAGGTGATTGTCTTGGCAGGTGGTTGTCTTGGCAGGTGCTTGTCTCTGCATGTGTTTATTTTAGTAGGTGATTGTCTTGGCAGGTGGTTGTCTTGGCAGGTGCTTGTCTTGGCAAGTTGTGTTCTTGGCAGGTGGTTTTCTTGGTAGGTGGTTGTCTCTGCCTGTGGTTATTTTAGTAGGTGGTTGTCTTGGCAGGAGATTGTTTCGGCATGTGGTTATTTTAGTAGGTGATTGTCTTGGCGGGTGGTCGTCTTTGCAGGTTGTTGTCTTGGCAGGTGGTTGTCTTGACAGGTAGTTGTTTTGGCAGGTGGTTGTCTTAGCAGGTGGTTGTCTTAGCAGGTGGTTGTCTTGGCAGGCGGTTGTCTCGGCAGGTTGTGTTCTTGGCAGGGGGTTTTCTTGGTAGGTGGTTGTCCCTGCATGTGGTTATTTTAGTAGGTTGTTGTCTTGGCGGGTGGTTGTCTCGGCATGTGGCTGTCATGAGATGATTGCACATGTTGTTTTTGGGTTGGTTTTTTTTTTTGGACGTGGTTGTATTTGCGAGTGGGTTGCCTATGATGGCTCTCATCCACACAAAAAAAACTATCTTTTGGAGATAGCTGGTTTTGTTAGCTTTTTTGTTCTTGGGAGAACTTTGACTATTTCTTTTTTTAAAGATTATATTTTTTGCAAATTGTGTTTTCTTCAAATCTTTGAAAGGAAGAATATTGCGTATAACCGTGCTCGTCTCACATGCATGGTTCACTAACAACTGAAAGAGATTACTTGTGACAGAATCGCTTTGTCTATTGTCTGAAGAAGATCATCGTGACTTGAGCAGTGTATTACCCGAGCACGTTTCTTCAGAAACTAACTTGATGGGATGACGAGCATCGCGTCGAGCCGTGAAATCGATTCCAATCACGCGTACGGTCAGTGAGAAACCGGACTGACCGATGGTAAGGCCTTCACGGTTATTTACAGTACTCTCTTGAGATGACTTCAGAACAGAGACCTAATCACCTCAAGACCATTTACAAAATCTTTTTTTTTAAAAAAAAAACAACAACATTATTTCAGAGAGATGCTTACTCTGAACTCTGATGGAAGTCTTTGACTCAATTTTGATATCACGTCAAAATCAAGTGGATACACATTATGATAAATCGTGGATACCAAAAGTAAGAAAAGAAATGCTTTAGCCCGAATCAAGAGCCCCCAACTTCCAACTTCTTCTCCATCATTCATCCAACCCTTTCTCTTTCCTTCCATTTTTTCTCACAATATTCAACCTGAACCTAGTTCCAAAAAATAAAAAAGAAGGGGGGGGGGGCGCTACTAACATTTTTTTTTTATTTCCAAGGGGGGAAATGCCCGCGCCGAGTGAAACTGTCATGTGAGTGATTGGATTTTCATAACGCCGGCCGCTAGATGTGAGTGGAGATCACTAATGCACTGTCATAACAGGATTTAACGGGGGTTATAAATTGCTGACATTCACGAGCGGGGGCACCAAGAAAGCCCAGACGGGCAGTTGATGGGTCGGGCGGGGGAGGGGGGAGGGAGGGGGGAGGACACGTGGTATACCTCAGCTCTATGATTGTGACTGCGTCGTCTTCTTGCTATTTCCACCCCCAAAAGTTTTAGATATTTGGTTTGATGTGTATATTTGTATTCATTATCACCATCATCATCACCACCATCATCCTCATGTCCCTTAGTCCTTTGACCGTTGGGGCGCCACAGATGACATGAAAACTATCCTCCTCCTTTCGTCTTTTTGTATTAGTCTTGCGATTATCTAAATAATAGCACCCGATCTCCCTAATACTATGGTCTTTGTTGGGGGCTAAGAAAAGGTATTTCTGTTTGTTTGGAGACTTTAGAAAACAGATGAAAAACTGTTTGAAATGTCACATGTCGGTGAGAGTGGTGAACCGTAAGTTTCACGTCTGATGGTAGTGGTGAACCGTAAGTTTCACGACTGATGGTAGTGGTGAACAGTAAGGTTCATGTCTGACGGTGGTGGTGAACCGTAAGGTTCATCACTGTCGGTGATCCTGCAATTTCAGTTAAAGAAGAAGGAGTTTCAGAACTTTAAAAACAGTTCACTTTGTGGCACAAACTCGAAATAATTCACTTTATGACCTTATCTCGAAATATTTCACATTATGGCACTATCTCGAAATAGTTCCCATATTGGCACTATCTCGAAATATTTCACATTATGGCACTATCTCGAAATAGTTCCCATATTGGCACTATCTCGAAATATTTCACACTATGGCACTATCTCGAAATAGTTCCCATATTGGCACTATCTCGAAATATTTCACACTATGGCACTATCTCGAAATAGTTCCCATATTGGCACTATCTCGAAATATTTCACACTATGGCACTGTCTCGAAATAGTTCCCATATTGGCACTATCTCGAAATATGTCATTTTATGGCACGATCTCAAATTATTTCCCTTTATAGCCTTACCTCGAAATAGTTCAAATTGTGGAACTATCTATACATATTTCACTCCATTGTTCTTTTTCTTTATTGAAATCAAACGTTATTCTACATAGGTCTGTCTCAACATGTAGACATGAACACTTGGATTATTTTTTGTTGGACTCTAAGACGTGACCGTTCGACCCTAGGTATTCACCTCCTCAGATGCCCCGTGCCGATTAAACTCTGGCAGCAGACACAGGGGTCAGTTGTTGTCCGGTCGGGTCTCGCGTCAGAACAAGAAACTAAACAAACACGGGAAGCAGATCACATGACGGTCTCCGGCATCGGCGGTGATTACAGTTAGAGATGGGGCGTTGTGGTGGTGTGGTGGGGGGAGGAGGGGAGGTTTGTAATCACCATGAACGCTTAGTCGGACTGGGGCTCTGGGAGCTTAGGACGAACCTGATAACCGTGTGGACGGGTTGCTGGCCTGGGCATCCTCCTTGGGAATATCACGTGATCCACTTGCAAAGCTCTCGCTGATCTTTGGAAGTTTTGAAACCAGTGTTTCACCGTAAAATTAAAACAAAATGGCAGAGAGGGGCGGCATCTTCAGTTTTTATCCAATTAAAACGTCATCAATTAAATTTGGCAAACGGAAACTTTAATGATTTATCAATATTTAGTTTTGAGGGCTTTCAAAGTTCAATGTTGAAATTAAAATATTTCATTTTAAGAATACGTAAAGATATGGCTAATTCTAGGTGCTCATGTGAGAAAACTTTTTTCTTTCCTATTGTTGATATAGGTTTAAGATTGTGCATGAATCACTGATGTAAATATTTGAGTCGTATCTAATGCTCATTGTCTTCATTATACTGTGCAGACTATGAGACAATGACAAAATGAGACCATGAGGCTGTGAAACTGTGAGACTATGAGGCTTTGAGGCTATGAAATTATGAGAATATGAGACTATCCAACTATGAGACTATGAAATCCGAACTTTCTAGCTTTTCCTTTACGTGCCTTACATGTGACCTCAAAGGTGTTCGGACACTGGTACAAAACCAAGTTGTGTGAAGCTATGTAGATTGAAAGGAAACAATTATTGTATTTAAAAAGACCCCCAAAAAACTGTGTTATAAAATGAATTGCACCCCACTCCCTTTTATTCCCACTCGTCCATTTCTTGTGATTTTTTTGATTTTTAAAAATCTTTTTTGGAAAATTACATTTACGGAAAAAAAAGAACAATGACCATTCAAGCAACATTTTTTTGTCGTACAAATTGATTTTCGAATAAATCGGTTTCGTACTAATTTCCGGTAGCCGTCCATAAGAAAAGTAAACCATTGAAGTCAACCCAAACTGCACATCATTTAAACAGGAAGAAGAATTCTGTGTAGTAAATATAAATATGATATTTATCAGCCAGCCCAGGTACCCCACACAAAAAGAAGTCATTACGTGCTTGTATGTAACACGGTTCCCTAACATCAAGAACACAACGGGAACTTGTGTTCCCCGGCGGGGTCTTCCGCCGACCTCACGCACACACACACACGTTTGTGTACACTGAGGTGTTGCTTCAAAGCAGGAAATAAACAAAGTACACCGCGGGCCAGAAAATCAAGGGGCTGGAGTACAGAGGAGGGGTGGGGGGGGGGAGAGGTTGGAATGGTGCAGGAGTAAGTACTAAGGGAACTGTAACGGAGACTGTTTTGTCTTTATTGTTGAATGTAACGAGAGATGTAACTGAGAGATGAATGTTACGATTTGATGTAACTGAGACGATTTAAAAATAATAATAATTTACGTAACAAATCTTATTTATACCAATGGATACTTCTTGAGTTGTCTACTGTGCTCTGTTCTTTGCTATATTTTCATTTCTACTGCCGGCTGAGGAAGGCTTTATGCCGAAACGTCCTTGTTTCTTGTCCTGTTCTCTTATTCAAGCTTCACACATACCTCGTTTTGCTTTTTCATTCATTTACTAATCTTGAATGCAGTCCTTTCATTTACATTTTCTTATTCATAAGCCTTAAAGGATTTAATGTAAATACGTGCAATTATACAACCCCGTGAATCGTACTCAGATCGTGATAACTTCTCGATACGGCAGGCAGACATGTTCTTGAAAAGTTCCCTGATATCCCCCCCCCCCCCCTATTGATTTCCATGATCATGTTCAAAATTCATCACCTATCTCTTATACTTATTCCGTATAGAAACATTTTCACTAAGAACATCGTCTTCATTGCATCCTTTTTTTTCAAAACATCGACTTCATAACATCATCTTCAAATCTTCACTTTCATAACATCATCTTCAAATCATCACTTACATAACATCATCTTCAAATCACAACTTTCATAAAGTCATCTTCTTTACATCAATTTTATTGCATCATTTTCATTAAATCATCTTCATACCATCCATCTTTTCGACATCAACTTTATTACCTCATCTTCGTAACATTATCTTTGCCACTTTCACATAATCTGTTCCTCAAAGTAGCATATTGAAAATACACTCCTCTAATTTGAAGCAGTTTCCTCATTGTTATCTTTCCATCAAGCCCAATACACCGCTATCTGGAGACAAATCTCAATTATCGTTATTCTACTCTTAAATTTTGGTATCTTCTGCTAATGCACCCAAGCTATCGGCATATAGTTTTTCCTAGTCTCCCGAATTGCACACAAAAAGCCACAATCTTTGATGTGTTGACTTGCGTAACATATATAACATAATATAGATCCCATTAGGGACCACGTGATAAGCTTTCACTTCAGAAAAACACTGGTAAAGTTGTGTTTCATGCGTAAGCTTTTGTGAAACTCCACCTTTACTTTAAGTCGTTGTTTTTTTTGTGTGTGTGTTTTTTTACGATTGTCTCGTTACCTTTGGCTATTGTAAATTTGTTGATACACTATAAGCAAATGGGAAATGTGTTGCCTGAAGCAAAGCTATAAAAAAAAAATGTGTCTTAAATTACCCCTTGACTGGACCAGGCGCCGCCTTCTGTGGCATCTACCCTCACTTGATTGAATAGCGGTGTTTTGATGATTTATATATCGTACGGCGAATGTTACTTTTCATTCGCTACATCTGCGGTTATTTACGACAAAAGACTACCGACCTTGGGTCTGGGAATGATCTATTCAACAATGATTCGTTTCACAGCGCTCAGACGTCTAGTAACTCAACACCCAGCACAATGTTCTCGTGTCATGAGTAAAGCTGTCTTACTCACCGCGCACAGGGAAGACGTTCACTTTTGAGCACCGATAAAAACGTACATTTTTAACCGTTCATAACCGACATAGCCGCAGCGCAAAATCATGACGTAAACAAAAAATAAATAACTGCTCATATAAGGAAAAATTCGACCGTGTATCCTCGGATCCAGGCTTTTCCCATGACCAGAAATGTGTTTCTTCCACCCTACACGTTCTAAGGGAAAACATCTGTCATAAAGTAATTCATAAATCCTTCATGATTACTGACATCTCCCCACTTGTGACACACTACATCTGACCCCTTATGCCACACCACATCTGACCAGTTATGACACACTACATCTGACCTCTTAGGACACACTGCATGACACGCTACATCTGACCTCTTATGACACACTGCATCTGACCCCTTAAGGCGCACTACATCTGACCTCTTATGACACACTACATCTGACTTCTTATGACACTACATCTGACCAATTATGACGCACTACATCTCACCACTTATGACACTATATCTCGCCACTTATGACACACTACATCTGACCGCTTATAACACACCACATCTCACCGCTTATGACATTACATCTCACCACTTATGACACTCTGCATCTCACCACTTTTGACACACTACATCTCACCACTTATGAAAAACTACATCTCACCACTTCTGATACATCCAATGTAGTGCATCCAATTCCAATTAATACAATTACCCTTTCTGCTCATCATAACTTCTGTAAGTAAAATAAAAGTGACTTGAGCCAGGCACCCACATGTTACCTCCCACCAACTCCGCTACTGGGTGGTACACGTACTCCCCCCATGTCCTTGACCATCCGTTACTTCTGTAAAGACATAAACAAAGATGGCTGCGTAGCCACGTCCTCCTGGGAGTTCAGCAGACGTTCAATCCCTAATGGATTAAAATTGTTGGTGAACTTCCAGATCTATGTGTCCGGCTTCTGACATCAATAAACAGCGACATCTTGTTTTTTTTTTTTGTTTTTTTTCTTCCTAAACATTTTCTAAATTTCTAGTTTTTAAGTAACCATTTCCGTCGCCAAATGTATGGGAAGAAATACTCAAATATTGATTACTGTGACTCTTGGGAGATAACCTTCGTATGCTCACATCAACTTAGGGTAGTGGTCTCCATACTTTTTACATCTGGAAGTCTCTCTGTTGTCTGCAATGCACCACAGCTCGCTTCAACGTAAGATGCGATGCTGAGTGGGTAGAACAAAAGTTTCACGTCTATCTTATTACAGAGTATTTCGTATTAGAGAGCATTACAGTAGCTTTACATACGTATTTCAGAGCATTACAGTAGTTTTACAGTCGTATTTCAGAGCATTACATTAGTTTTACAGTCGTATTTCAGAGCATTACACTAGTTTTACAGTCGTATTTCAGAGCATTACATTAGTTTTACAGTCGTATTTCAGAGCATTACACTAGTTTTCAGTCGTATTACAGGGCATTACACTAGTTTTACAGTCGTATTTCAGAGCATTACACTAGTTTTACAGTCGTATTTCAGAGCATTACACTAGTTTTACAGTCGTATTTCAGAGCATTACACTAGTTTTACAGTCGTATTTCAGAGCATTACACTAGTTTTACAGTCGTATTTCAGAGCATTACACTAGTTTTACAGTCGTATTTCAGAGCATTACACTAGTTTTCAGTCGTATTACAGGGCATTACACTAGTTTTACAGTCGTATTTCAGAGCATTACACTAGTTTTACAGTCGTATTTCAGAGCATTACACTAGTTTTCAGTCGTATTACAGGGCATTACACTAGTTTTACAGTCATTACAGTAGTTTTACAGTCGTATTTCAGAGCATTACAGTAGTTTTACATTCGTATTTCAGAGCATTACAGTAGTTTTAAAGTCTTATTATAGTATTACCTTAAAAAAAAACACTTTGAATGTATTGTGTTGAGACATTTATACGGGTATAGTGATACATGTCTGTTGTATGGGGAAATTTGTACGGGTAAAGTGATACATGTCTATTGTATGGGGACATTTTTACGGGTCATGAATCGTAATCAATTAATGTAAGAGCAAACGTTATATTTTCCCCAGTAATGTTAAGGGTGTGGACTAAAGACGATGCATCGAGTGTCAGAGCAAAGCCAACGTCTCAAGGGCTACGGACAACCGATTGAGAACCACCATGTTAGTGTCTTATGCCAAAGTCGTTACTATCTGAATAAAACATGAGGTTCTCATGTTGAGATAAGTCCCACTGCGTTTACCCCCGTCTTACCCACACCACCACCCCCCCCCCCTTTTTCTTTTTGTGTGCTGTTCTAAAATTGCCTCATTTCTGTTTAAGCCGGTAACTCTATCCCTGGATATTGAGTCGATAAAGTTAAGTTCAAGTTGCTGTAGAGACTCTTGAAGGCTTTCATTTCCGAAGTAGTTCCTGGAATTATCTTGTAACAAGTTGATCCCCCACGAATCGATCAAGGCTGCTACCCCCCAACCCCCACTCCTACTTTTGCACTGACGTCACAGATAATGAGTTCCAGTCATTGGTTAAAATTTTTTGTTTTTTTTGTTTTTTTCCCCATTTCCTCTGTCACCGTATGTTTGGAGAAATGAAATTGTATGTTACATCAAAGAAGAGTCACCAACAAATTTCAAAGTGATTCAGACCTTAGGTATCTTATAAAACCTATTTTTTTAAATCTATAACATTTTCAAAAGCAGAATGACACACAAATGGTGAGTGTGGTGCATGCGCGCAAGGCTAGCAGTTCTGAAACTGCCCCATATTGAGTGCGTAGGTGGGTTTGTCAGCCGCGAATGCCACCAGCCAGCCATGTGACCAAAGAATAGAAAATTATAAAATGTTGGGGCAGTTGTTTGTAGGAAATGGGTCTCTCCACGGACGGAAACTCACTTATAGTTAGCAGCATTTGCAAATCATACTTTAGGGAACATAAATGGTGACGTAAATAGGGACATGAATGGGGGCATAAATGATGACGTAAATAGTGGCATAAAAGTGACGTAAATGGTGACGTACACGGTGACGTACACGTTGACGTAAATAGTGACCGTGTGTGACAAAAAAAAAAGAAAAAAAAATGCCGAAAGAAATTTTTCTAAAAAAAAAAAAAAAAAAGAAAGAAGCAAGAAGTTGTGGAGTTCTGGGAGGGTACTCTCTGTCATCAGAATGGGAAAACAAGGGCAGATCAGATTGACTAATTAAGTTAATATGACTTTCTTCGGGAATCTCGCATTCCTAGTAAAACTGGATCCTCGCACACAACAGCCTGAAATGTCCACGATACATCACCCCGGATCACATATCTTGCTCCGTTCAACTGTTGTCCGACCTGTAAGCCGTATAAAAATGAACTCCCGTTCTTAAACACCTGGGGAACCTACGTCTGCTGATATTCAGCATGAAAAATGTTTCTCATAGACTTTGTTGGGATGCACGCACGCAGCGGCTGCTATAGGACACGTGCATGATTCTCACTGTCCCAAAAAAATGACCGGTCGACCAGACTTCCTCTTCCGTCGACGCAATGCACTTCCATAATGGTGAAATTTCTAACCACAAGACACCATATAAGCTGTGGGGTAACTTGGTGCAGTCTTGTTTGAATCTGTCTAATTTGAATTATTCTGACACATTTTTTTTTATCAACGGATACTAATCAATCACGATCCCCCATGACAATCGATGCATCACTTTTCAACGAGCTAAAGGGTGGGTCAGTACGAACATGTTCATCTTCACAAGGGAGACACATTGCCAACAACAACTGCTCCGCACAACTTCCTTGAAATCTCTGGGAACATTCCGCGGCTGCTGGAGCCATGCAGCAATTGAAAAATGTATGCACGCGTTCAAGATGCGACAGCTTCACTATAGTTACTCTCGGCGCTCTCAGTTTTGAACTTAATTTTCTTTTGCGTTGACTAGCAATTATTTTAATGCAATCCCTTGGCACTATTTCTATCGTTGTAGTGGTCACATAAACTTAAGATGTAGAGGACAAGAGAGTGTCATGGGTCCTTGGAGCGCGAGCAAGAAGAAGAAATTACCTCTTCAGTTCGAACCAGACTTAGAGCATACATTATTTATGCATTAAGTCGTGTCTGTTGTTACAGAACAAAGTCAGACGCTGATCAACCAAAAGTTATTTGCCACCAATTTGTATTAAAGCAGAAAGTTTCTTCGAAAATTATATGATACATAATACTCGGCAAATAATCTGGTATTTTTTCCACTTAGCTTTTTTTTTTTTTGTGTGTGCGCGCCGTGTGTGTGTGTGTGTGGATCGTGTGTGTGTTTGTAAGCAGAAAGTTTCTTCGAAAATTATATGATACATAATACTCGGCAAATAATCTGGTATTTTTTCCACTTAGCTTTTTTTTTTTTTTGTGTGTGCGCGTCGTGTGTGTGTGTGTGTGGATCGTGTGTGTGTTTGCGAGTGTGTATGTGTGTGGCTGGCTGGCTGGCTATTCTGAACAGCAATTTGAACAACCACTGTGTCGCGTCTTGTTGATGAAACAAACATGGGACAACCATTGTATGTGGAAAAAGTATTACATATTTGGGATAAAAGAAGGCTTAATGTAGCCTAAATGAACGCGGTCACTGTATAATGGAGACGATGAATTGTGTAAAAAAGAAATAATTCTAGGAACAATGTATGAAAATCCTATTCAATGTAACATTTATATTAAAATGCATTCGGATTGACATTGTACAAACACATATTGTACTAGCCAGTATAGATTGGGTTCTGGAGGGAGGTTGGACGGGGGTGGGGGGCAACAATGACCTTGCTGTAATCGGCTGCACCGGGTAACAATGTTTAGATATGTCACGTGACAGAAATGATGTGTAAGATATGTCACGTGACAGAAATGATGTGTAAGATATGTCACTTGACAGAAATGATGTGTAAGATATGTCACGTGACAGAAATGATGTGGTAGATATGTCACGTGACAGAAGGGATGATCCAATGCATGAAACAGATTGGGCTAGCGGGGAAAAAAATCTCTCGATTAAAAGTCCAAATTACAATTATTTATTTCCCCATTGAATCGCCTTCTCTACAGACATGAATTTCAAATTGTTACCGATAATCGTTGTAATGTGTTGTTTATTTTATTTAAAGTCTTGTTATATATAGCACGAAAAAAAAGTAATATTCCTTCCACTGGAAAGCAAGGATCACCACTTCATGCAGCTGGCCATGGTGACAATAAAAATCAGTCATATGAATTAACTGTGCTCAACAATTTCATTGGGAAAAAGCTCTGGGTTTTGTGAAATAAATTGTGGAATGATTTCTATACCAAACGAACAATATTTCTAAAAAATATATTATTTGCCAAACAAATATTTTATATATTGATAATAATATATGTTTTTAATTTTTAAAAAAGGGATTTTTCTAAAACAATGCTGTGCGTTTTACTTGAAGAATAAAAAAAATTATTTTTTTTTTTGGTCAAGAAATGAGTGTGTGGTTTTGATAACAGCACATTAAGAAGGCAGGAAAACCACGTGACCGAAGGTGAGTGATACACCTGTCGGTAATAACGTGTTGGTTAACAGGTATAATCCTCCTCACAATTAGCGAGCACCAGTCTGTTTATGTAGGTGAGTGGGAGAAAAAAAAAAACACGAAAGGTTCCTCACGTCTGCTCTGCCTCAGGGGCCGGTAAACCCAACGGCTCGGTGATGTTTTATGATGGAGTGGTCTGCCCCTGCCAAGATAATGTCTCAATTCAGGTTCTGCTCAAATAAAGATAAGATTGCTGATGTGACCACACAATAGTAGCGGGCGCGGTTCCAGAACGGGGGAAAGTGTGGGGGGGTTGTATCCATGTATCCACGTATCCATAAATCCATGTATCCATGTATCCATGTATCCATGTATCCATGTATTGTATCCATGTAACTCTGTATCCATGTATGCTGATAAGATTGCTGATGTGACCACACAATAGTAGCGGGCGCGGTTCCAGAACGGGGGAAAGTGTGGGGGGGGGGGGGCAGGTGCGGATTTGTTACACTATCGGAAACTTCAATGTGTAAAGAGTGTGTAAGGTGTGCGGTAAATAATCTTTTGAATACTGTTATTTTAAGATCGTATGTTAAATCATTACAATGTGTTCTTCGTGCGTATAGATTATGTATCTGATTTGCTCGTCCTGCCCACTGAAGATGACCGAGGCTTGACTTGAGCTGAATTCCACGTAAAGTTAGGCAGAGCCGCTCAACCCGTCAGCCTCACTATCTCGTCCTTGCCAATTTGATCCACTGACAAGGCTAAGACAGGACCACTGGGAAAAGACCAGGATGTGTGGTCGTTGGTACGCATTAGCGATTATCTGAAACTTTTTTTTAACGAAATTTTCCGAAACGTGTAGTATCACATAGTCCTCGCCGTCCAACTTGGCATATTCAGACGTTCATGCAAACATACGAGAATACCTCCTTCCGATGATTTTAAGCACAAAACAATTCTGCGAACAACAGGGTGATATTCCTCATCCGACGTCCGTGGAATAGAAAAAAATAAATAAATAGTGGGAAAAGATATGTTTAGGCCAGAAAAAAAAGACAGAAAATTAAAATTTTCTATTTATTGTTCTCTCTCTTTTTTTCATGCCAAAACATATCTTGTTCCACTATTTATTTACTTAACGCTGCTTGAAAGCAACCCCACCCCACCCCCCATACATCATAGAATGTAAACACATAAAGCGCTTGGCATGTTTAGCATTGTATACGCCGCACATACTAATGTATGGGATGTTAGAATGTTCCTGATTGGTGGTTCACAATATGGCAGGAAAAAATGCAACAACAATTCATAGCTAATTATTTCGTGCCTGGAATGCCGTGGAAGTATGGAAGTGTTCAGACTTTACTGGCAATGTGAAGCCATGTCCCTGATGAAGATTAATTTAGGTTAAAAAAAAACGATCTAATGTGTTCAGTTTTATGTCTTCACAGTGGGAAAGGATTGCTACGACTAATGAGTTACGACTAAGATGTCACGACTAGGATGTTACAATTAAGATGTCACGACTCAGATGTTACGATTAAGATGTCACGACTCAGATGTTACGACTAGGATGTTACGACTCGGATGTTTTAAGACTGTTCTATTATTACCGGCCAGTGTAATATGTAACAAATTTAACGAGAGCATAATTTCGGAGGCTATATGCCCAGAAGTGTCTGGTCGAGCAGTCGTTCTTACTTGTGTAAAATATGAGACGGGCGCTATAGGAAACGGATGTTGCCAACAGCACGGTTTCATTGTCTCAACAACCGGGTGGATGGGACTCGTTCACTTTGGATGGCAACTCATCTAAGAGAAGGCAAAGTGAAATGAAACTCGGAGATGGAGTCAAGTAGAGGGTGTGATATTACATTTACAGAATGAAAATTCCGACAACTCCTGCGACATGGAACTCATGAAGAAAGGGCAGTAAGACGCACGATACACACTGCTGGTTATCTCTGCATCTTGCTCTATTTCCAGTTGTCTTGACCAATTCTTGCCATTTGGATAAAAAAGGCACGGACGAAAGAGTGTGGCTGAACAACTGAGGAGCTCTCCCTCACTTTAAACACAATCCAGCTCAAGTCAAGGCTACTTCTGAAGTCGAAACTTTGGTCTGCGCTAAATGTCCCAGGAATATTGAAAATTATAATTGTAATTCACTGCCAAATTTTAACGTCATGGATTATTCTAGAAAAATATTGTGTTGTGTGTGAGATTGAGTGAGTTATATTTATGTTTTTTTTTTTTAATACTTTAAAATATCCATATTAAAAGTTATGCGTTGACAAAGTCATCTTATTATTGTATCGACAAAATACGACTTCTTACCCCCACACCCACCCCCCTGTCATTTATGTATGTCCAAGTTGACTCTAAAAATCCATTGGGTTTATCTGCCGTTGATAAAGTGACCTTCTTGGATTAATTTTGAACAGCAATGGTATCCTATAAAAATGACAAGATTTGTATTAACGTAACGTAATATAGGTCATGCCCAGTAATGTTTTTTTCTGTACCAGAGGCGTCACTAGGTTTGGCGTCACCCACTTCGGTAACTCAGTGCGTCAAGCACCCAGCCCCACTTTTCTTTTGTGTATCTTCTTCAGACCTTCTCTTCGACGCCCTCTGAGTCTGCATGCTCTTGCGACACTCTACTCTTGCGACACTCTACTCTTGCGACACTCTACTCTTGCGACACTCTACTCTTGCGACACTCTACTCTTGCGACACTCTACTCTTGCGACACTCTACTCTTGCGACACTCTACTCTTGCGACACTGTACTCTTGCGACACTGTACTCTTGCGACACTCTACTTTTGCGACACTGTACTCTTGCGACACTCTACTCTTGCGACACTCTACTCTTGCGACACTCTACTCTTGCGACACTCTACTCTTGCGACACTCTACTCTTGCGACACTCTACTCTTGCGACACTCTACTCTTGCGACACTGTACTCTTGCGACACTCTACTCTTGCGACACTCTACTCTTGCGACACTGTACTCTTGCGACACTGTACACATTAATTTGACTTACACTTCTTATGGAATCGCTGCGTGCAAAGCTCTTTCATTCTTTTTACTCTTGCGACACTCTACTCTTGCGACACTCTACTCTTGCGACACTGTACTCTTGCGACACTGTACACATTAATTTGACTTACACTTCTTATGGAATCGCTGCGTGCAAAGCTCTTTCATTCTTTTTTTCACTAGCTATTCCAATTTAGTGGAACCTCTCCTTGCGTGCGTGTCACCCGGTGCTGTCCGCAACAACTCACACCCCTTGTGACGAGACTTCTATTTACCCTCACATATTTGACCACCTTCACTAATGATACATTTTAGCAATGAGCTCTGATTTAGGATCAATTAAAATTTACTATATGTCTTTTTTTGTTTGTTTTTTTCTAAAATGTTTTTTTTTCCTCGTCCCCAGAAAAAAACTTGAGAGCAACCATGGTCGCCATGTGTCGACTGATGTTCCTGTCACTTTTAGTTCTATGGGACATCCTACACATAAGCTCCGCCTACAAGGACTTCCAGTCACTCATTCCAAACGGCGGGCGTGTCGTCGATCCTTGCAACAACCAATCGACGTGGGAAGGGGTGGGGCATCTGGTGAAAGAAGGGCGGTCTAAGAGGAATTCTTTCGGGCTCGATTTTTATACATATGGAAAGGTATGAGGGCATAATTTTATACAATGATAAAATACATTGTAAATGATGTTGATGAGAATGATTGATTACATGTAAAGCGCTTGCATCTTTGCTATTTTAGGATTCACAAAGCGCTCTGATGTCATAACATCTACTTAAATAAAAAAAAGTAATTTAATGTCCCTTAAATGATTGTTTTTAACATTTTCTAATTTCCCTTAAAGATAGAGCCAAACTGTTCCATAATTTAGGCACTATAGCTTCAAAGAGCGCACTCCGTATGACTTCTTTCTGTGTCCATCCACACCGGGAACTCTCAGTAGGGACTGTGATGACACTGTATGGCCAGATCTGGTGGAAACATTTAACCTTGAATTAACTACAAAATATTAAGGGTCCACATCATATGCGATATGATCATATTATTTACTCATCATATACTGTTTAGTCTGTATTGCCACCAACCTACCTCGTTTTGTTCTATAATGGTATTTTCAACAGACATCCTCAAGAGACGCCGCTATAAAAGTGCCATGGCCCGTAGTTTGTTTTTAAACAAAAACTATGACTCACCACGCAATTGTTCTATAGTGAGCAAAACAAATCTGGTCGTTTAAAAAAAAAACGAATTGATTTCTTTTAACATAGTCAATAAAAAAAAAAAATGAAATCCTCACTAGATCACGTTTTAAATCCTTGAGTGAATTTGCCATGAGACTTTTATGGCTTTGTAAAGAAGAATAAAAAAAAAAAAAAACTCTAACAGTAATATTTTCATGCTGACTCTCTAGAAGCTAAAAAACATTTTTTNAATAAAAAAAAAAAATAAAATCCTTGCTAAAACACGTTTTAAATCCTTGAGGAAATTTTCCATGAGACTTTTATGGCTTTGAAAAAAAGAAAAAAAAAAAAAAAAAAAACTCTAGCAGTAATATTTTCATGCTGACTCTCTTGAAGCTAAAAAACATTTTTTTTTAATTATTATTTTAGGCCAGTAAGTTTTAGAATTATATTACTTAAGATCTAGTGGTTTTCAAACAAGTTATTTCCCTTGACGAATCACGTGCATTTTAGTTGTCTCTCTGTTCCGTTGGACTCAATTTCTCCATCAGAATCCACAATAAAGTGTGCTTGTCCCATTTTCGCGTGGTGATTACATTATGACAAAGATGAACGTGTTTTTTTTTTTTTTGCTTTTTTTTTTTTTTTTTTTTTTTTTTTTTTTTTTTTGTTTTTTTTTGTTTTTTTTTTGGGGGGGGGTTGGGGGTTTGGATTGGAGTGCGATTATGCTAAGAACGTTTGAGCTCTAGAAGGGAGATTCATTAAGCTGCTGGATGAAGTCTGGGTCAGCTGGGTGCTTCCGCGGTAGTGATAAAGAGGATGGTAACAGTAGTGACAATGGAAACGATCTCCTCAAATTTTTCCCCCCACAGAGCTGGACAAAGGCGTTCTGTACGCTGGACTCTGATGGCGACGGCCGCTCCAACGGTGAGGAGCTGGGTGACCCAGATTGTGTGTGGAAGCCGGGGAACACGCCACGACGACCGTCCCTTTCTCATCCAGGTGATCAATCATCTGTAAAGTTTGCTGGTGGGGGGGGGGGGGGCACCAAAACTATTACGAAACTGAATTTAAAAGGGGATTTCAGAAAAGTTTCAAGGCAAATCAGTTTGAAGCCGGGGACACCGCCACGACGACCGTCCCTTTCTCATCCAGGTGATCAATCATCTGTAAAGTTTGCTGGTGGGGGGGGGGGGTCATCAAAACTATTACGAAACTGAATTTAAAAGGAGATTTCAGAATATGTTCAAGGCAAATCAGTTTGTGTGGCTTAGATGGCTGTTACTAAATTGCTAAACGAAAATTTACTAACAAACTCATCAATATCCCATTCATCAATATCCCATTCATCAATATCCCATTCATCAATATCCCATTCATCAATATCCCATTCATCAATATCCCATTCATCAATATCCCATTCATCAATATCCCATTCATCAATATCCCATCATCCCGACAGGTATTTGTGAGCCATTGACAAGTGAACTTTGCAAGGCCAAGAACCAGGGGTTCTCGTGTAATGTGGCGTCCAACCTTGAAATGGGATTCTGTCCCCATCTGGATAAAAGTTGTAAGTCGTCGGCCAGTCTCGTTGTTTTAAGACCACAGTTGCATGTCCCCAACTAAAGAACGATGGCGCTTTCAAATATCTTTATGCTTAGAGAACATAGTGTAATCGAAGGCTGTCTTTACTTGACTGGCTCGCGCTGAATTTTTCTTTTCTTTCCTGGCGTCAATTAATGTCCAACATAAGAGTTCCACATTTACAAGCAAGGAAAAAAAATATCATTTTAAATAGAGCTCAATCATCAAAACGATGAATAAAAAAATGATTAAAAACTATACGTATTTAGAGCAATAAATTTCATGGTCAAGTAACATAAGAGAGTTTTTTTCTAATTTTTATTGGGGAAAAAAGTAAAATTCGAAAGTTAGGCTAAGGACCTTAAAAGTGTTTTAGAACTTTCATACCCTTATACATATACCCAAATATAATGTTCAATTATTATGGTGAATATTAAAATTTAAAAAAATAATAATAATGATACTAAAACTCATTAAGTCTAATGTCTTGGTGTGCATCAAAGCAAAAAGAAAAAAAAAAAAATTACGCTCATAAAAGGTTTTCAAAAATAAATACAGACCAACCTCCTAAAAAACTATGTAATCAAAGAAGGCGCGTGTATCTTAACAGTTTTGAGGTAATGGGTCCGGAAAATGAAGTAGGCAGTCGCCAGTAAAGGCAGAGCCCTTCATTCTGAAGCAAGCCCTTGGAAACGTGTTTATTGGGGTCTCCGAGTGATTGTTGATGTAACCCTAGGACGATACTGCGCCACATGAGCCACACGAGCCACCAAGCGCCACATTAAGTGGACGACCAAATTAAGTTTATTCTCTGGGCCCAAAAGCTGTCTGCATTGGGCGCGCAAATATTTACAAATGGCCGGAGAAGCGCTCCGACTAACCTGATTATATGTTAGTGTTCTCCCTTTCAAATATTGACGGCGAAATGCGATGTTAAACGCAACGAAAAGTGCTGGGTTTGAGGGTAGGGTCTCTAAAGGTTTTTTTGTTTGTTTGAGTGCTTTTTCTTCTCGTGGTAGTGACGTGTTTATAAGTACAAATACAAGTATTTGGAGAGTGTAATACACGTATTTGGGACTTGGGTCGGAGTTTCTGAGATGGGGAGTAGAGTTCAAAGGTTGTATAAGGGAGCAACATTTTAAATATTTATTTGAAAGTTGATAAAAGTCATCTTAAACACTGTCGATCGTGACGTCATTCTTTCCCTTTTTTTTTTTTTTAAAGTATTTTTTAATTTTTTTAAATTGTATCTATGGCAATAGAAACGTGTCAGAGGTAGGTTAAGTGTGGAATAAACGATCGTCTCTTTGATCACTGTTACTCCTAAAATGATTGAATCACTTATTTCCAAGCTAGGTAAGAAACGTAACGCACAGGGGCGTCGTTTCAGATTTTTTCAGGGGAGGGCAAAACCAAAACTTGGTCGGCTTGTAAATTTGTTAATTACTGGAGGCGCCGCAGTACACAGCGATTTAATTAAAACCTGCCGATTCGTACGGTGGGGGGGGGGGAGGGATGCCCCAAACTGCCCTACCCAAATGACGTCCCTGGTAACGCGTACACATTTTTTGTGAGTCACAGGAGCCTAAAATATATTTTTTTTTAAAGTTACAAACAATGTCATAGCTACTTCATAAAAAATATTGAAAAAGAAAAAAAAAAATTAAAAGAAAATAAATTAGTTAAATTAGTTCCAAAAAAACATATCCTTCAATGATGATTTATTTTTTTTTTCTAAATTATTATTTTGTTTACAATCTCTTTTAAGGCACGTCACGAAACAACTGTATACAAAAAAAAAAAATAATAACATCTGTCAAAATATAATATTGGATTGGGATTGTTGCACTGTTCGATTTCAAATTATTTATGAAGACTAGCAATCAACTGTGTATGTCTATGTCCTACAGTGCTCAGCAGGAGCGGTGATTCTATCAGAAGTCAGGGTTAAAATATTCCATACGAATGCAAACACTGATGGAAGCGTTCAAAAAATAACCAGAACTGTCATCTCTAAGATCAGACTCCGTTATTTTGAAAGGAAATATTTTTAGGATTCTCTTTAAAAAAAAAAATTAAACAACCCCCCCCCCTCCCCACTACCCCCTCACTAACAGCAATAATCACAAAAGAACTGCGCATGGCCGAAACACAAGTGCCCCCGTCAGAAACCAGCTACTTCTGTCAGCTGTTCGACCTCAACTTCACGACTGATCATCACATGGTGGCCACTCAGCCAATGGTCCATGTCAAAAGCGTCGTCCACCACGTTCTTCTGTTCGGGTGTGACCCAAGAGGTGAGAGAACTTCATTTCACATTTGTTTATTTTTTATAGTATTTCTTGTCACTTAGAAATTTTGTGGCGCCTTCATTTGATTATAATATGTTAAGACATGGGCGCCAGCAGAAAACTTTCTAAGGGAGGGGGGGCAAAAAAAATGTATTAACTTTCGGGGGGGGGGGCACACATTTTTTAGTAATGTTTTAATATAGTTTTAATTTACTGTAGCGTATTTGTATGGTGAACGAACGGACAGAACATCAGCTTAGTTACTTTCTCTTTATTTTCTCTTTACTTTAATACATTTTTTGTCTATTTTTGTCAAAAATTTTTTTATCCAATCAATCCATCAGAGGGGGGGGGGCAATTGTCCCCGTTGCCCCCCCCCCTGCGGGCGTCCATGTGTTAAGACGATATTTTGCTATGTTATGCTATTGTTATATTTTCATTTATTCTTCATATAACTTAAATCCTACAATGTTTGCTTCCTGAACTTTGATATCCTATGTTTTCTTACAATAGCACATCTGCCTTGTTATACTTACTGTCCCATCCTACAAATGAAATAGCAAAACAAGTTATGTGGAAGCTTGAATTTAAGGACAGAACAACAAGATTAGAAGGTTTCGGCATACAGCCTTCATCAGCGCACACGACAAAGGAAAATATCACAAGGAACGGAGCACAGTGAACAACTAATCCTACTCTAAAAAAATATTATATATCCTACACACCTGTCCTAGTTTTACAACTGTTTTTATCTGTCAACTGTTCTATCTTATACGATTACTCTCTCCGACAACAGTCTTATTTTATAATATCGTTTTATTTTTTTTTTATCTGCAGTTGAGACCGAGACTAGCCTCAGGTCCCCATACCAGTGTGACATGGTCCCTCACACGGCCTGCAACTCTTTGATTGGCGCCTGGACTATAGGCAGCCCGGGGGAGTGTGCCCACCCCGAGATGGGGTTCCGCATGGGTCCCCGGGGGTACAGAACGGTAGCGCTACAGGTAAGACTATTCTTCAATTGATTCGTAATGATAACGTTCTACTCATTGAACGACATCAGTGGTTCTCAACCTTCCTAATGCCGGGACCCTTAAATACAGTTCCTCATATTGTGGCGACTCCCCAACAACAAAAATATTTTAGTTGATACATCCTAACTGTGAAGTATATGTTTTTTTCGATGGTCTTCGCGACCCCTGTGGAAGGGCCATTTGACCCCCCAAAGGGGTCGCGACCCACAGGTTGAGAACCGCTGAACTACATCAACTATATCCAGAGATTCTCCAACTGATGTCGCATCACTCATATGGACATATTTTGATTAGTTCTACTTACAACTCCACAGGTTCACTGGAACAACCCCAACAAAAAATCTGAATTCGTTGACATGTCCGGACTGAAAATTTTCCTGACCACAAAGCTGAGAAAACACGATGCCGGTATGCTGGTCATTGGTCAAAACTACCTTCAGATTGATCCGGAAACTGATCAAGGCACCACAGGTAAGAAATAAGAACAAATTAACATAATTGATATGGCCTGAGTTACAAAGTTTGGAATACGGTTATCGTGAAATTAATGAATCATTCATAGCTTGAACATTTCATGGAAAAGAAATGTTCATCATGTTTCCATATTTTTGTTGTTGCTGTAAAGATATATTCGGAGAATAATAGTAATAATAATAATAATAGATCTTATATAGCGCGGTACCACACCCTAGGGCTGGGCTCACCTCGCTGTACATACAAATTTTATCAAAAGAGACATAATCATGACATTAAAATAATATACATTTATGAAATAAAGAACAGCAATGTATATTCACCCACCCCACCACATAACTTTTACAAGGCAAACCATGGACGGCAGCCAGCAAGATCGTTTATCGGTCAGAGGAGGGGAATCAGTCAGGGTAGTATACCAATGCTTGACGGTTTATTTGATTGACTGATGGACCGTCAGATTGAATGATAGATCAATTGCTTGACATAACTTTTAAATGAAAGTATCTTTTAAATTCCATTTGTTATTATCATTTTAACGAAAAATACAAAAACAAAAACAGCCTTAATATTTTAAATCTTTAGTGTTTGCTTGAGACGTAGCAGAAGATGACTGAAGTTTATTTTAATCATTCATATAATGAGTACTGAACATTTTTTTCAGACAAATCAAAACTTGTTGAATTTTCATCGGTTTGTCCAGAGAGGTGTACCCAGGTCATGTTTCAGACGCCCATCTTCGTCACCTCAGCTGTCAATCACATGCATTATTTAGGTCAGTTCGCCGTACTGCCGCCCTGTGATTGGTTATATCAGTTAGAGACATCAATTATGAGAGTTTCAGACAAGGATCAGTATTCGAATTGGGGATGACTGTAGTTGATCTAGGATTTAATTGGTTATGACTGTAGTTGATCTAGGATTTCATTGGTTATGACTGTATTTGATCCAGGATTTCAATTGTTTATGCCTGTAGTTGATCTAGGATTTAAGTGCTTATGACTGTAGTTGATCTAGGATTTAATTGGTTGTGACTGTAGTTGATCTAGTATTTAATTGGTTGTGACTGTAGTTGATCTAGGATTTAATTGGTTGTGACTGTAGTTGATCTAGTATTTAATTGGTTGTGACTGTAGTTGATCTAGGATTTAGATTTTTGTGACTGTAGTTGATCTAGGATTTAATTGGTTGTGACTGTAGTTGATCTAGTATTTAATTGGTTGTGACTGTAGTTGATCTAGTATTTAATTGGTTGTGACTGTAGTTGATCTAGTATTTAATTGGTTGTGACTGTAGTTGATCTAGGATTTAATTTTTTGTGACTGTAGTTGATCTAGGATTTAATTGGTTGTGACTGTGATTGATCTAGGATTTAATTGGTTGTGACTGTAGTTGATCTAATATTTAATTGGTTGTGACTGTAGTTGATCTAGGATTTAGATTTTTGTGACTGTAGTTGATCTAGGATTTAGATTTTTGTGACTGTACTTGATCTAGGATTTAATTGGTTATGGCTGTAGTTGATCTAGTATTTAATTGGTTGTGACTGTAGTTGATCTAGGATTTAATTTTTTGTGACTGTTGTTGATATAGTATTTAATTGGTTATGACTGTAGTTTAACTAGGATTTAATTGGTTGTACTGTAGTTGATCTAGGATTTAATTGGTTATGACTGTAGTTGATCTAGGATTTAATTGGTTATGACTGTAGATGATCTAGGATTTAATTGGTTATGACTGTAGTTGATCTAGGATTTAATTGTTTATGACTGTAGTTGATCTAGTATTTAATTGGTTATGACTGTAGTTGATCTAGGATTTTATTTGTTATGACTGTAGTTGATCTAGGATTTAATTGGTTGTGACTGTAGTTGATCTAGGATTTAATTGGTTATGACTGTAGTTGATCTAGGATTTAATTGGTTATGACTGTAGTTGATCTAGGATTTAATTGGTTATGACTGTAGGTGATCTATCATTTATTTGCTTATGACTCTAGGTGATCTAGGATTTAATTGGTTTTGACTGTAGTTGATCTAGTCTTTAATTGGTTATGACTGTAGTTGATCTAGTATTTAATTGGTTATGACTGTAGTTGATCTAGTATTTAACTGGTTGTGACTGTAGTTGATCAAGTATTTAATTGGTTATGACTGTAGTTGATCTAGGATTTAATTGGTTATGACTGTAGTTGATCTAGTATTCAATTGTTTATGACTGTAGGTGATCTAGGATTTAATTGGTTATGACTGTAGTTGATCTAGGATTTCATTGTTTATGACTGTAGTTGATCTAGGATTTAATTGGTTATGACTGTAGGTGATCTATCATTTATTTTGTTATGACTGTAGTTGATCTAGGATTTAATTGGTTATGACTGTAGTTGATCTAGGATTCAATTGTTTATGACTGTAGGTGATCTAGGATTTAATTGGTTATGACTGTAGTTGATCTAGGATTTAATAGGTTATGACTGTAGTTGATCTAGGATTCAATTGTTTATAACTGTAGGTGATCTAGGATTTAATTGGTTATGACTGTAGTTGATCTAGGATTTAATTGGTTATGACTGTAGTTGATCTAGGATTTAATTGGTTATGACTGTAGGTGATCTATCTTTTATTTGGTTATGACTGTAGGTGATCTAGTATTTAATTGGTTATGACTGTAGTTGATCTAGGATTTAATTGGTTATGACTGTAGTTGATCTAGGATTCAATTGTTTATGACTGTAGGTGATCTAGGATTTAATTGGTTATGACTGTAGTTGATCTAGGATTTAATTGGTTATGACTGTAGTTGATCTAGGATTTAATTGGTTTCACTATAGGTGATCTATCATTTATTTGGTTATGACTGTAGTTGATATAGTATTTAATTGGTTATGACTGTAGTTGATCTAGTGTTTAATTGGTTATGACTGTAGTTGATCTAGTATTTAATTGTTTATGACTGTAGTTGATCTAGTATTTAATTGGTTATGACAATAGTTGATCTAGTATTTAATTGATTATCACTGTAGTTGATCTAGGAATGTCTTTTCTCTGCAGGTAAAGGTCAACATATCAAAGTTTACAAAAACAACACATTGCACAGCGTCATAACGGACCAGGACAATTACAAGTACGATGACCCAGTGATATACAAGTAAGTTTCTGACAGACTTAAGGTTTCAGACAGACTTAAGTTTCAGACGGACTTAAGGTTTCAGACAGCCTTAAGGTTTCAGACAGACTTAAGGTTTCAGACAGACTCAAGGTTTCAGACAGACTTAAGGTTTCAGACAGACTTAAGGTTTCAGACAGACTCAAGGTTTCAGACAGACTTAAGGTTTCAGACAGACCCTACTTTTCAGACAGACTTGAGGTTTCAGACAGACTTAAGGTTTCAGACAGACCCTAGGTTTCAGACAGACTTGAGGTTTCAGACAGACTTAAGGTTTCAGACAGACCCTAGGTTTCAGACAGACGTAAGGTTTCAGACAGACTTAAGGTTTCAGACAGACTTAAGGTTTCAGACAGACTTAAGGTTTCAGACAGACTTAAGGTTTTAGACAGACTCAAGGTTTCAGATAGACTTAAGGTTTCAGACACACTTTAGGTTTCAGACAGACTCAAGGTTTCAGACAGACTTAAGGTTTCAGACAGACTTAAGGTTTCAGACATACTTAAGGTTTCAGACAGACTTAAGGTTTCAGACAGACCCTAGGTTTCAGACAGATTCAAGGTTTCAGACAGACTTAAGGTTTCAGACAGACCCGAAGTTTCAGACAGACCCTAGGTTTCAGACAGACACGAGGTTTCAGACAGACTCGAGGTTTCAGACAGACTCAAGGTTTCATACGGAATCAATGTTTCAGACAGACTCATGCGTTTCATTGAATTATATCGGTAGCATGTATCTTACTATAAATATTGGCCATTGGACGTGACTGTTAACTTTTTCAAATCTCGAAACTACCCATAAAATAGTCAGATTCTATGAAGAACGAACATTACAAGAGTTAAAACGAAGTCTAAAAATAACAGATGTTCAGTTTATAATGACGGAGCTACAGGTGGTAATGAAATTGACAAAACTAATCATGACGTGGGTGTAATGAATGGTCAAGCAAGTGTTGATAATAATGAGATGGTTTTGGCTGATGAGGTGGATGTTATTTATTAAAACCCTGTCATAGAAACCTTGCTCAAAAAACACATTTGGCTTATACTTTAATTATTTAAAAAAAAACAAACAACATTCCATTCCTTTATATTGAGTAGATTGGCAGTATCTTTTTAAAAAAAAAAAAAATTCACAATATTCTGTCAACGGCATAACTCCAAGCTGATTTTTGTCTGTCTCTGTATTTTTGCTGTCGAAGGCTTCTTGGCAGAAACGTCCACGTTTGAATATTATCATTGTTCATGTTCTACTCCACCCAGTGTGTTTTCCTTATGGCTTCAGCCTGAACGCAGCCCTTCTCCCCGTAAGGTCTCTTTCAGCCTAAAAATAGCATTGAATCGCCGATGACGTCAGTGTAGACCGTGTACCTTCAAAACAGACAATGATCCGGCTTAGATTTCTTTCCGCGTCAATGATGAATCCCAACGTTGGTGGAAACTCACTAGAATTTCTGCTTCGTTCCTTCTTATGCTTTTCAAATCACCATTTCCCTCCTGCCTTTTTTTTCCTCCTCTTCCCCAGCTTCCAGACGCCCATTCGAATAGAGCCAGGTGACGAGCTGCGGACTACCTGCGTGTACAAGCGGACACCCAAGAAAACACCTGTCTGCTGGGGGGAGGCAACGTCTTCTGAAATGTGCTTTGGGTTCATAACCTACTTCCCACTTCTGAGGGTAAGCCTCAGACTTAGAGTTATTCCACATGCTAGTTTTTAAAGAAAATTGTGCAAGTTTTAAAGAAAAAATTAACAGAGTTTGGCTTATGGGACAAAACCATTGATCTGAGCTTTGAAAGATATGTCTAGAGTTAGACGGGTAAGCCTAAAAATATTATCACGACCCTGACATAACCTGAGTGGTTTTGAAGATAAAAAAAAAAGAGATCAAATTCTATTCATGTATTCATTACTAGAAACTATCCACTATCCACATTTCATTTTCAAAAGTAGGATGCATTCAAGCATAGTTTTGATTTTAAAACACTAAACCAACACGAATTCAAACATGTGAATTCTTTGATAATAATTCTCATTTTCAACACGTTTGAGCAAGTTTGATTTCTCAAGATTCCGGTAAAAACTAACGGAGCTTAAAGTTAATAACACAGATGAGGGTGTGACCTCGTTTAATCTCTAAAAGTTTTGTTGATACAATTTTTACCGATTTTTTGGCAAATAAGTCGTTAATATTTTTAGTTAGTTTTCTACATCAAAATGTGTGTCCATGCTAGCAAGATGCTTACATCTGATCTGAAATTACAATTCAGATAACAAACCAAGAAAGAAAATTAAAAAACTTGAAGTACAAATCCTAATTCTATAAGGTTATTGCCTGAGAAACTTTTACAACCCTCTCCCACTCTAGCAATCTCATTTTAAATTTCATGTTTTTTTTTTTTAATTTTAGTTAAAGACCCTTTAAAAATCATAGTGATGATAGCACAGCTAACAGTAAATCATCAAATTTTAATGTCACATTTGACAGAAGCTGTCCCAGCCCTGGTGCACGTCACACAAGTCCCTCCCCTCGTGCGACAGGCATCTTCCCTCTCTCAGCACCCGCCCGATAGGAAACTGCAAATGGTGGGAGTTCCGAAATGCTAGCCATCCGGAGACCCAAGCCATCCTGGGCAGAGTTTTCCAGGAGTGCTACCCGTCCAGAGACCCGGTGCTGCGGTGCACCGATGGGTGTAAAGAGATTGTCAACCTGATAGCCTCACATCCTTGTTTACAGGTAAATTTTAAATTCTAAATTTAAAAGAAACAAAACAAACATTTATACTCCTAAACGGGGAGTGATAAACAGTGGCCAACACAAAACGAGTCGTCGGCTTACTTATGTAAACTCTCACTCATTTGAATGGCGCACGGCCATCGTTTATTACCGCGTATAACGCGATCCAGGAATAATGTGAGCCCTTAACTGTTATGTTTGAGAAACCCACAATATGAGATATCCCCTTATAATGGGATCTGCTGTTTATGTTGTTCCATAACAATGGAATAAGTATAAAGGAAAAAAAAAAGATTGAGTTGAAATTTATGTTTAAAAAAAGATCATAATCCTTTAAGTTTTATGCTATTTAAAATGAACCGTGGTTATGCCGATACAGCACTCGTCAAAGGGCCGGTACTTACATTTAGGATGTAATGTGGAGAGTGCAGATACAATGCAACTCGTTCAGGTCGGCCGAATCCGAAAGGGAAAAGAAGATTTGATGACACAGGCATTAGCAAATGTCCGGTAATGAAAAATGTATGGCACGCTTATCATGCCAGCCCCTACTCATAAATTAAATTTCTTACCCCATGTTTCTCGAATACTGGTAACACACGTTAAATTTACGTACACACCTTGATGTTGACGTACCCAGTTTACGGCACTAAAAAAAAAAAACATGACACACGAATCACATCGAGTTCACGTGGCGTCACGAGCTGTGTAAAAGGCTATGGCCATATTCATTTAGTCATACACTAACTTCAAGTTGTAGTGCACTCTATTGTTCCTGCAGTTGGTGGTGCTGGGTGGCCGAGCGGTCTAAACTGTCTCAAATCAAATAGCCGGTGGTCCGGAGTTCAATCCCCACCAAAGTCAACATCCCAAGCACCCCGGGTGGATGGGACTCGTTAGCCTTGGACGGCAACCCATCTAAGAGAAGGCAAACTCTGAATTTAAACCAGGAGCCAAAATGATCAACAAATTGATCGTGGGCCCCTCAAATATAAGAAGAAATCATATCCGTGATGGATACATTTTGTGTCCCTTTATGTATATCTCCCTTCAAATGTGATGAAGCCGACGAAAGTTTGCATAGATGTTCAGTGGACTTATCCGATAATCTACTACCAATTTCGCATATATAACAATTGGCCGGATGTCGAAATTGCCAGAGTTGACATTGGAAACCTTATTCTTGCATTTCTTTAACAGTACTGCTTGAGATTCGAAATTGAAATGTAGATAAGTAGGAAAAATAGATTTTGAAAATAAAAATTAGGGGGGGGGGTGAAATACATGTCAATTTATCTTTTTTTCTGAACATTCATCGTTACTATTTTCTTGTGTTTTCAGTTTCAATAAACCCAAGCCAACAAGATCAAATGATTATAACAGACAAGTCCAAGTCACATCATTGTAAATCGGGACTCTTGGCGGGAAAAGATCAAATTTTACTGCATGTCTCAGTTGAGGTGATAGGAGACGATCTTCCTAGAGGCCCAGAAAGAATCCTTTTATCTTTTTATAAAATATCAAATAATGAAAGGGAGAAGTTGATGGTAAATCAAAACCCACATTTATACATGACCATATTATTCCCCAGACTCAGTTTAGAGCAGTGGTTCTAAAATTTACGAAAACGTGGGATCTCCTATGAGGTATGAGGTAAATGCTCATTCTTAGGGGGAGGGGCACCGGAATTTCCAAAGGGGGCGTTAGAAAACTATTTTAGGAAACTTTTTTAAATCACTATTTAAAAAAAACAAAAAAACAACTTATAACAAGTTATTCATTTGGCATTATTCAATAAATATTATTATTTCTCCACACACTGGAAAGTTCTTTCATCTTTCAAACAACACATATCTACCAAATAAAGCTCAGTGCTACTATGGTGTTTGTTGGTTGGTTTGTAAAGTGGTCGATCAATTACAAGAAAAGCAATTAATGGATCGCAACCAAATCAAACACGGTAAATCATCCTTGCCAATAGATAGTACCTGGAGAGTTGGGTCATTAGTTCCGTTTCCAGAAGCTTTCAGCTAAAAATTGATAAATTTGAAGGTTAAATAGTAAACAAAAAATTTTTTATTGTAAGATATTCTTTGTTGTGCAATTAAAAAAAAAAACAACTTTATTCTGAACGGTGCTCTTTCAAAAATGTATTAAAAGGAGGTTTCTTCTATGTGCACTCCAAAATTTTCAGTACGTAGTAAATTTCACTTTTTAAATGAAATTATTTATTTGCGGTAATTTAGAATAAGTTTCATAATATCTTAACAAAATAAAGTAGACGCGAGATATTGACCCGGTAGACTTAAAGATGTCCCTTTTATGTTTCCTCTGTCTCAATGATTTTCCTCAAACGTTTTAAAGTCTGATTTTAAGTTCCAAATGGGAGCGGGAGGCTCTTCACTATATTTTGCTTAGGATAACCAAACCTAAAGAAGAAGGCTTACGTTACGGAGAATACTTCTTGGCAAATTGTTGCCTGTAGGCAAAACTTATTATCGTTCTAGTTTTTTTTTTGGTGTTTTTTTTTCAATTTGTAATTTGCGAAGTTTTTGTTATTTCTTTCCGACTATACGACCAGGCAAATATTCCATTTTTAAGGCAATCACATTGCGTACACGCGAAATAAGCATTAGACCATTTGAATAAACTACAGCTCCTAGGGACGGGGATTTGAGTTATAACAATTTTAACATAGTTCAATGGCGTGCATAAAGACTTGCCGAATGGTTTGTGTGCTGGGAAGGGAGAACCACAGATTTGAGAGTCAGTTACAAACAGACAGCATTTAGTCAAAATATGTGTTTTATGGGAATAAGAATGTCTCACGGGCCAAGTTCACTACACACGAAACAATGTCAGTCCACATTAGTTTATACTTTTGAAAATTAAATTACGGCAATGCCTCGCTATTTTGAATGTTTCCATCTTCGCGGGTTTTCTCCCCTCCTAAGATCTGTGGATTTTTCGCTATTTCGATATATTTTTGCGATAGGGAATATACTTTTTATGTATTTATTATTTTAATTTATCCTGCAGAGACACACGTTTTTCTTGACTAAAAATTAAAAAAAATTATTATAAATAAAAAAGAAAATGAAAAAAAAAGGTTCCTAAGTGTGTGAAGGGTTTTATCAAGCTTTAAGATCATATTCTTTATTTTGTATAGATAGTGAACTATATTAATTCTACTTTACCGTTGGTCGCATTTCGCGTGTGTCTTGGAGCGTAACTCGCAGGATACTCGAGGTGTTACTATGTTTACATGTACACTAATTATAAGCTGCTTAAATACTAGAGAAAAAAAATTATTACTGACATCCGATAAGCGCACGGGAGTGTTAGTGCCACAACGAGGGCGTCCGAGTAAAAATCTCATGAGAGAGATAGTCAGCTGCGAGTAGAGATGTTAAACGCGAGCTTCTGGTAAAACACACTCGGAACCAAGAAATAAGACAAATGGTGCCATCCCAGTAAGCCATTAGGTGCCTCAACAACAGATAGACAAATGGTGCCATCCCAGTAAGCCATTAGGTGCCTCAACAACAGATAGACAAATGGTGCCATCCCAGTAAGCCATTAGGTGCCTCAACAACAGATTAGTTTGTCTTAACAACGGATCAGAACGCCACTAAACCAGTGTTTTTCACATGGCGGTCTGCACAACATGAAAATTTATGGTCGAATTATACAAAATGTCACTTATAAATCTGGCACCGGTCCCTGGTGCAATTTCGAAACACGTCCACCGGCCCACCAAACTTAAAAGTTTGAGAACCGCTGCTCTACCCATCTTTTTATTTCATGTTTCCATCGTGCGACGTGCGGGAATTAAATACATTTCAAAATAGAGAGAGATTGGAAAACAAATTGAAAGAAACACTGCTATAACTTTACTCTACCATTCCCGCGGGTAGCGAACAGTCGCTTTGGTAAGGTGTTGGAAACCATGTTAAAGGTTTACCGAGGGACCTATTAAGAACAACAGAGTAGTAAGTTTGAAATATAGAAAAGAAAAAAGCGCCAGCTTGTCTAAATGTTCTATAAAAATAAAATAGTTCTCTATTTCTTGTATTACAGTCCTGCTACGACTTTACCGGTTATTCCTGTTCAGAGAGTCAACCAAAGGAATGTTACTGTAGGTTAAACGCCTACCCTGCATTACATTATGTACTAAATGTGACGGCGCAAGTAAACTACAGTAAAGCTCAATTTGAAGCAACTTATACCAGGCAGTTTTTACCAAATATTGTAGGCTCTGTGGCCACATACATCTTACCTACAATACATGGTAAGTAATTAACTATCCTAATTATCATAAAATGGGTAGTTTAAGTTATTACATATCATTTTACTTCTATAGTTTTAATACATATTAAATGCAGTGCAGCAAAAGTTTGACCCTCGACCTTTGCACCTAAATCTGCCAGAAGTACCGAGGATGCAATCTTACTATTATTGGAAAGAATTTATCATCAACTAGACAGCTTTTCCCAGACTTCTCATTAGCATTCAACACTATCCAACATGACCTTATGTTAAAAAGGGTTTCTTAATTGGGTGTTAATTCAAATAGTTAAGCGTTGATACTGAACTTTAAAAAAAATCTCCCACAACAAACAAAGGTAAATGACCAAACATCATTAACTAGAGAAATAAGTACAGGAGCACCACCAGGTTGCATTCTCTCCCCTGTCCTGTGTACGATGTATACCAATGAAATTCAGATCCCAAGCAACACGGTTCCGATCATTACAATTTGCTGATGATATCAACCATCTTTGTTTTTTATATCTGAAGGGGGGAAAGCATGTCCCGCAACTTTCAAGCGTCACCGATGAAAATTTTCTTCATTAGAATGTCTCAAAAAACGAAACAAAAAAAAGTTAATTTCCGAAGGGGGTATTCCCAAATTTTAGATCTTGCAAAAAAAGAAAAGAAAAGAATCGCACTATAGAGCAAGTAGAGATAGCAGTGCCCATGTGGTATCATTAATGATAAGATCTACATCAGTGGTT